TTGGCTGTAAATTTTTAGGTTTACAGTTGAATTATTACAGTTATACAATATTGTGCTCAGTATAAACCCTATAAGACATAAATTAAATGATGTTTTAACCTTTAAAAAGATCTCCATTTCATTATTAAAATACACAGTTTCATATAGAAAAATTCTTTTTCAATGCAATTGACCTTGGATGTTTGCACATGTATTTCTAATCTCTATATAGCAGATTATTACTAGTCACAGTCAGTTACTTTCTGGGTATCTGAGCATGGATATAAAGTCATCATCAACAAATTTTTAAAAATGTATTATATTTGCGGAGGAAGCATAAAAGTTTACATCATGTTAATTAGTAGAGGTGATGAACATTACCATTGAAATCTACCTGATGACTTTATAGACATACACAGGTGCCAAGGATCCAAGTGCAAACGATTATGACTAGTAATAATTAGATACATACAGATTAGAGATGCGTGCGCCAACATCTCAGTGTTAGTGGCAAAAACAATGAGTCTTTCTGTAAGAAACTATATTTTAGAATGAAATGGAGATGTCTTCTGAGGGTTAAAAACTCATTCAATTTTATGTCTTACAGGGCTTATACTGAGTTCAATACTGTATAACTGTATTGATTCAACAGCGAACCTAGAACTTTTATAGCCACTTTTGAAGGAGCTGTGTCTTTGCTCTGGAAACTGTTACTGGGCATGTTCTATAATAATATGCTTCTTCTAAAAGAAAATAAAAATAAAATATACCACTCCTTGGCATATTTTTAAAAAAAATTTAATAATCACATGACTAGAAGAAGCATTTAATTGAAGCTTTAACATATTCAGTAACACACTCCAGAGCAAGGATACATCTCTTTCAAAAGTGGCTATAAATTTTTAGGTTCACAGCTGAACTAATACAGTTATACAATATTGAATTCAGTATAAACCCTGTAAGATATAAAATTGATTGGGTTTTTACCCTTTAAAGAAGATCTCCATTTCAAGATATGCGGGGGAAATGGGAGTCAAGGTGCAGAGGGCGAGATCAGCTTACCCCGGAGAGAGGCTGATGGGTCGTGAAGGCCCAGGGAAGCAGAAGGCTTGTTTTATTTTTAAACCGAGTCTCTCTCTATAGCTTAGGTTGGCCTCAGACTTGGCAATTCTGCCTCAGTCTCCTGAGTGATTACAGGTGTGTGCCGTCAAACCCAGTCCACATAGACCTTTTGACAGTTAATCATAAATAATCTGATTACATAGTCAGTGTTTGAATTTTCCTCCTGATGCCTGGCTGACTTGTGGGTGTGGTATGTTTGAGTAGATCATACCAATACAATTTATATGTGAAACTAATCAGCAAGGAGCAATTCAGTTCCATCTTTCAGGTGCTGGGAGTTCAAAGTTCATTGCCTGGCATGGTGGGAGCCTTGGAGGATCATTTTCTTCTTCCTGTTTCTCCTTGGCAACCAGGTTCAGAAGTGCCTGCAGCTGACATTTTCTGACCCTCTGTCTAGAGTGGCACACTGCAGCATCTATACTGCTTTAGCAGCATAATTAGAAACTAAATGTCCCAAAGAAAAGTGCTTGGCAAGCGACCCTCACCTGATCTGTCTCAATCAGAATCTCTACCAAGGAGTTGCAAATGCAAACCACATAGGTGACATTAATTTTCCTAGCAGCTGCAAGAATAAATGGATAAAAAGTAGGCAAAATTACTTTTAATAATAATATACTTTACTCAGCCATTAAGCATATTTTTAGCATGTCATGAATATGTAAACTATGAAGGAAGTATATTTTATATTATCTTTTTTGTGCTAAACCTTTGAAATTCAGTGTGTATTTTAATATATTTTATTTACTATTTTTATTTTATGTGTATGAGTGTATTGCATGCATGTATGTAAGTGTACCACATGTCATGCAATGCCTGCAGAAGTCAGGTGTTGGATCCCCTGGAACTGGAATTATAGATGGTTGTCAGCTGCCATGTGGGTGCTGGGAACCGAACCCCAGTTCTCTGCAAGAGCAGCCAGTGCTCTTAATCACTAAGCCATCTCTCCAGCCCCATAGTATGTACTTTATATCTACCCACATCTCACTTGTAAATGGCAACACTTCATTCAGTAGCCACATGTGGCTTGTGGCTGACAGGATGGATCAATGCCATCACTGGTATTTATACAGTAGATGTGTTTGAGGTTGTTTTTGAATCTTTAGGAAAGTTATTGTCAATCAAAAACAGTCTCTTCCTTCACATAAAAATAACATGAATATTGATATTTTATTTTAGCTACAAATACAGGGATTTATGAACACCACCTTTGGAAAAATCTTATCTTCTCAACTGGCGCTTCAACTGCTTCAAAGGTATTTATAAAGGCTTAAGCTGGGGGGTTTCTAGGTGACATAACTCTATATCTGAAGGTACAGTTTCAGGGCTGGGAAGATAGGTCAGATCATAAAATTCCTTGCCTTCCAAGGAGGAAGGTCAAAGTCCAATTCCCAGAATCCACGTTAAAAAAAATATCCAGGCACAGCAGGGCATGCTTGTAATCCCAGTACCAGGGAGGCAGAGACAGGAGGATCCCTGGGGCTCCTAGACTACCCTGTCCAGGTGAATCAGAAAGTTCAAAGCCAGGAAGAGACCCTGTCTTAACAATTTTAATATAACAGGAAATATTTGACAAAAAGGGCAGGTGGCACCTGAGGAATGATACCTGAGGTTGATCTGTGGCCTCTACACACATGTGTGCACTTGCATACAACCGGCACCTCTGCACACTCATGAACACACACACACACACACACACACACACACACACACACCCCACTCATAGTTTCAAATAAGATTTTCTCAAAGTCTCTCCTCTATAAACCTTAAAAGTTGTAAATATTAACTTTTCAGTTACTTCTAAATAATGTGGTAAAAATTTGAAATATAGATGTTATTTTTCTTTGCATTTTACATTTTTATCTTGAGACAGGATCACCTGTAGTCCAGGCTGGCCTTGAATTTGATCTGTAGCTAAGGATGACCTTGAACTCTTGATCCCCTGCCTCATGCTCCCAAATGCTGGAATTACAGGCATACACCACAATGCCCAGCTTCATTGCATTAAAAAAAATATATAAAAGGAAATCTTTGACAAGAAAATTAAATTATGTCACATGTCCTACCCCCAACCATGAAATATGCTTTGTTTTAATTTCATAGGTATTATTGGAGAGGGAATAATGTTTAATATTACATATGAAAGAAATTTCCAAAATGGTATTACTTTGTTAAATCTTTTCAACGTATTTGTGTGCGCAAACGATTACTACAGTGAAACAATTAATATGGTCAACTCACATAACTGTTCTCTTCCCTTTCTTTTTTATGGCAAGAACACTTAAAATCTATTCTTCAATCTAGGAGAAAACTCTAGTTCCAGGGAATCTAGATTAGAGAGATAAGTTGGACGAGGGGCCTTCTTGTGTGTTTGTGTGTGTGTGTGTGTGTGTGCCTGTGTGTGCTTGTGTATGTGTGTGTATGTTTGTGTGTGTCTGTGTATATCTTTGTGTGTGTGGGTGTGTGTGTCTGTGAGTGTCTGTGTATCTGTTGTGTCTGTGTTTTAAATGTTTTATTTATTATTTTATGTATGTGAGTGTATTGCCTTCATGTATGTAAGTGCACCCATGTCATGCAATGCCCGAGGAGGTCAGAAGAGGGCATCAGATCCCCTGGAACTGGAGTTATGGATGGTTGTTAGCTGCCATGTAAGTGCTTGGAATTGAACCTGGGTCTTCTGCAAGAGTAGCCAGTGTTCTCAACTGCTGAGTCATTTCAGTGTTTGTGTATGCATCTGTAGGTGTTTATGTGTGTATATCTTTGTCTTTGTGTTTATATGTGTGCATGTGTGTATGTCTGTGTGAGAGTCTGTATGTGTATGTGTGTGTGTTTGTGCATGTGTCAGAGTGAAGACCTACGATAGAGGGTCTTTTGGAATTCTTCCCTATGAGCCAGTGGACCTGACTTTGGGAGGCTTTGTCAGAGTTCCACATCTATGTGATGGTGATTAGCTCTTGAATCACCTTCGTAAGATTCAAAACAGGCATAAGATGATTTTGACAAGTGACAGCACTGTACAATCTGCAGGTGGCATTTTCATGGTGACTCCCCTCTGACTGTCTCCCTCTTTACCTATAACACGCTGTTGATCAATTCATGTTATTATCAGAACATTACGACTCTGGTACTTCCCATATATCATTTAGTCTCCAAGTGGATGTGACATTGGCTGACAGGCCATTATTTCGATACAGCAGTCCAGAAGCCTGTGCAGTCCAGGAGCCTGCCATCTTCGTTACATGCCTCAGGGTAATGCACGAGGCCCGAAATGCATTTTTATCAAAGGCATGAAGGAATATTTAGTGCCTTAGTCACTCTTCAACACATTTCTTGTTTCCCTTTTAATAATTCAGCTTCAATTACTTTTAGATTTCAAAAGCTGAACATTCCCTGCCTTCAGTTAGAAATCAATCACACAATTGAGCGGATTCTTCAGTGTTATATGGCTGAACTTGAAGCCACCAAGAGGGTAAGTGTCCTGTGTAGAAACAGAGTGCTGCATAAATATAAAAGGGAAAACAGTTCTCAAAGTATTTGCCATTGTTATCAGACAGCAGGGTCTTCAGGACACTTGTCTCACAGTGAAGGATCTCAGAGGGTCCTCTACATGTGGGAAGGTTCTCTTGGTATCTATCACTGATCAGCCAGATTGACACCTCTTTTGTTTTTGTGTGTGGGGGGGCGCTGGAGAAATGGCTCAGCGGTTAAGATCACTCACTGCTCTAATCCCAGCACCTATATGGCAGCTAACAGCCATCTCTAAGCCCAGTTCCAGGGGATCCGAGTCCCCTTTGGCTTTCATGGGCATTGCATGCATGGATGCACTTACATGCAGGCAAAACACTCACACACAAAATAATAATAACAATAAATTAAAATGAAGAACTGTGTTTTTGCTACAGTCTTTGTGAATATGTACCTCAAAGACCATTTTGGTTAGTGTCTTTTATATGGAAATACAGGCTCTGGAGGCTAACAGAGACAACATAGTCATGTGCATCCTTTCCTAAATAACTGAGATAGACCTTGAAAGGGTACATGCTTGTCACTCAGTCACTCTGCATCAATGCCAGTAGAATACCTGGTAGAAACAAGTTCAGGGAGGGAAGATTTATTTTGGCTTGTGGTTTCAATCTGTCCTGTCTGGTGGAGTGGTTCAGTCTATGGCAGCAGGAGCATGTGGCTAAGGCTAATCACATGGCTGCCAGATCAGGGACTGGGCATAACCTTCAGAGGCCTGTGCTCTTTAGTTTACTTCTACCTTCTGAAGATTCCACAGCTTCCCAACATCACAACCAGCTGGGGAGCATGCGTTCAAAACAACAGCCCGGGGGCTGGGAAGATGACCCTGTCACTAAAGTGCTTGCTGTGGAAGCATGATGATCTAAGTTTAGATCCCCAGAACCCATGTAAAAAGCTGGGTGCAGTGGGTACATCTATCATCCCCATGCTGGGGGTAGGGCTGTGTGGAGACAAGTGGCTCCTGGGATTTGCTGGTAGCCAGCCTAGCCCAATTAGTGAGCTTTGCAGTCAGTGAGAAATCTTGTCTCAAAAATTAAGTGGAGGGGACTGGAGAGATGGCTCAGTGGTTAAGAGCACCAGCTGTCCTTACAGAGGCCCCAAGTTGGATTCTCAGTACAGTGCCTGTAACTCCAGTTCCAGGGGATTGGACACCCTCTTCTGGCCTCTGAAGGCATTGCACACATGTATATACATGCAGGTAAAGTACTTATACACATAAAAATAAGTTACAGGGCTTGAAAGATGGCTCAACAGTTAAGAGCATGGGATGCTCTTGCAGAGGACCTAGGCTCCATATCCAGCTCCCACATGGGCGATAACAACTGTCCATAACTCCAGTTCCAGGGGATCCAGTGCCCTCTTCTGGCCTCCATGAGCATTGCACACATGGGTGCACTTGCATACATGCAGGCAAAACACTCATTCACATAAAATAAAAATAAAAAAATAAATAGATATTAAAAAATAAATTTAAAAAATTAGGTGGAAAGTGAGAGAAGATCCCTGATGTTGATCTCTGGTCTCCATAAACACATGTGCACACACACACACACACACACACACACACACACACCATAAAAACATATAGAAGGAAATGAAGGGGAAGAGAGAGTTAAGCATCATGTATTGTGAACACTGGTATTTCTGAGCCTCAGATTATCAGCTCTGAAGTTCATTTGCATATTCATTGTCTACCTCTTGGGCATTCATCCTGTGAATAATGGTAAAACAGCTATTCAAACATAGCAGTAATTTTTTTCTGCATTCTCCATTGTGCTGACTTAAACCATTAACATTGTCCTTTTAAATTACAGCTCTACCACTCTCAGAAAGATGATCCCCCCCTTGCTCGCAACATGCCCCCCATAGCGGGGAAAATTCTGTGGGTGAGGCAGCTGTACCAACGGATAAATGAACCCATCAACTATTTCTTTGTAAGCCAATCATAAAATTTATAATATATGAATGGTGGTTCAAAACACCATGTATTTTGTCTTACAATATTTGTGCTCAACCAAGTAGTTAAAACCAATGCTTTTACTCAGTAAAGGAAACGAGTTTATAAATGTGCTGGAGAGAGACGAAGCCAGTTTCTTTCATGTTTAGCAGATAAGCCAGTTCAATGACAGTTATCTCCAAGTTGGTGAATCTGATAACGTTATCTCTTTTACTAACAGAAGACACTTTATAAAGGCTTTTCCAAATAATTGTTTGGAAGACACAGAGAGTGAGCTGTTGCTTACTGCTGTGGGTGGACGGGTGAGTGCTGATGTGTATTCAACAAATGTGAAGATGGGTTACGGAGCGTATTTTTCTATGAAGAACCAAGCCCCAGGCAGGGTATAACAGTGTATACAGTATAAGATTATTAGATTTCTGAGAAACAGGCCAGGTATAGGGCCTGCTGGCATCCTGGAACTATGGCTTAGTCTTTTCTTTGTTTTGTTTTAATTTATTTAAGAGACAGAATATCAAGGGGTGGAGAGATGGCTTAGTGGCTAAGAGATGGCTGCTCTTGCAGAGGACCCAGGCTCGGTTCCCAGCACCGACACTGTGGCTAACTGCCATCTGTAACTCCAGTTCTAGGGAATCCCATGCCCTCTTCTGATTTCTGTGGGCTCTGCACACATGTGGTGCACTTACATACATGTAGGCAAAACACTCATAGTCATAAAAGACAAATAAACAAAGCATTTAAAAAATTCTATTTAAAAAAGAGAGTATCAGAATAAACTCAGTTTGCTTGATATTGTACCTTCATATAAAGAAAAATAATAAGTTTGTGGCCTTGCCAGTAATTTTATGAATAGGGCATTACTAAATGCAAAATTTCTGTTGGGCTGCTATTGTTTATTTCATTATTTTGCATATTAAAAATTAAACTGGGGCTGGAGAAATAGCCCATTGGTTAAAATTGCATAATACTCTGGCAGAAGACTGGAGTTTGGCTCTCAGCACCACATCAGGTGGCTCAAAACTGCCTGGAACTCCAGCTTCAGGGGATTTGACAGCCTTTCCTGGCTTCCACTGACACAGCACACACGGTGCACACACACAAAGGCACACACACACATTCACATACTAAACAATAAAATAAATATTTAAACAAAAATTTAAGCCAGGCATAGTTGGTACAAGCCTGTAATCCCAGCACTCAGGAGGCAAGGTGGATCTCTGTGAGAGCGAGGTCAGCCTGGCCTACATAGCAAGTTCCAGGCCAGCAGGAGCTGTAGGGAAACCTTGTCTCAAACAAACATACAACCAATTTAGACCCTGACTTTAGATGAAAGGCTTAGGTGGGGATTTCATTGCTATAGTGGCAGGGTACATCTTGCCGTCTAATATCTGTGAAATTAAACCTCAGCCTTTCAATGTTTGCAAAAAGGAATTGAGTTTTTATTCTTTTTGTTGTTGTTGTTGTTGTTTAGTGATCTGCCTGCCTCTGCCTCCCAAGTGCTGGGTCTCAAGGTATGTGCCACCATGCTCAGCATGAGTTTTTATTCTTTGATCTCTCTCTCTCTCTCTCTCTCTCTCTCTCTACAATTTAGGAATTTCCCCTGATACAGTTCAAAGAAGATCAGTCAGTCGTATCTTGTACAGGGAAATGGGAAGGAACTAGACATTATGTGCGGAGACTTCTGCTGCTGGGTGCTGATGTTTGTGCATCACATGTATGCAGTGCCAGTGGAGGCCAGAAGGGGGCGTCAAATCCTCTGGAAATGGAGTTCCAGGCAGTTTTGAGCCACCTGATGCGGCTGTCTTTTTCAAGTCTTTCTTCCCTTTTCCAGTGCAGTGTAATGTTTCCTTCCCCGTCACTGTTGCCGTCCGAGGCAGAATCTAAATTGCTACAGAGATTGTTGATATCATTTTAAGTATAAGTTATTTGTGAAAATAGTCTGCAGTCTCTGAGAATATACATTTCTTTTTTTCCCCCCTACAAATCAGAAAAACTCAGACATTTTGTCAAGCGCAGAAGGTAAAACTGTCATCCGTCAGTACAACAAGATCTCATATGTGCTGGTGGAATTTGAGGTGGCCTACCACACAGCCTGGGTCAAAGAAATTTCACAGCTACATTATGGTATGTATGAGGCTCAGAGGTGGGTCTTGATGATTTCAAATGAGTTCATGGTATTGGGGAAGTTTGACATTCTTTCTACATAAGGCTAGGCTGGTAAGAATTTAGATTTAGGACTGAAGAGATGGCTTGGTTGGTAAAGTGCTTGTCTCGCAAATATGAGGACCTGATTTAATTCCCAGAACCCATGTAAAGAAACCAGGCATGCTTATAAGCCCAGCACAGGGGAGGCGTGCTCAGGCAGATTCGCCTGCCGTGTAGCTTAATTAGTGAGCTCCACACCAGTCAGAGACCCTGGCTCAAACAAACAAAAACAGGGTGAGGACTAGAGAGATGGTTAAGCTGTTAAAAGAATTGTTTGCTCTTGCAGAGGACCTGGTTTAGTTCTCAGCATCCACACGGTGGCTAACAACTATTTGTAACTCCAGTTCCAGGGAATCCGATACCTTCTGTTTACTCTCTCTCTCTCTCTCTCTCTCTCTCTCTCTCTCTCTCTCTCTCTCTCTCTCTGTGTGTGTGTGTGTGTGTGTGTGTGTGTGTGTGTGGGCACATTTGCCATGATCAGAGAACAACTAGTGGGAGTCAGTTCTCTCCTTCCACCATTATATGGGCTCCAGAGGTAGAACTCAGGTCATCAGCCTTGGCAGCAAGCACATTTACCCATTGAATTATCTCACAGGCCTACAAAAACATTGAAAAGAATTTATTACATTAATTTATTGGTGTATGCATGTGCATATGTGTTGGGCACATGCATGTCATGGGACATGTGTGGAGATCTGAGGACAGTTTGTGGGAGTCGGTTCTCTGAACTTAGGTCATCAGACTTGGTGATAGATGCTTTTACCCACTGAGCCATCTTGTTGGTCCCTACAAATATATTTTTGAAGATATACTTATTTATGAAGGTTTTCACATTCAGCTTTATAATGCTATAGAGTGAAATGTCTGAACAAGTCACAGGAGAAGAAACTATAGCCTTTCTCTTCCTCTCTTCTTCCTCCCTTCCCTCCCTCCCTCTGTCCCTCCGTCCCACCCTTTCTCCTTTTTATTCTTTTTTTCTTTGTCTTTTAATGAACTTATTTTGAGCTCCAGTAATTGAATAATGTCAGGGTCAGCTTGAGGGCATCTGTGGACCGAGCTTTTGATAGAGTTCAGTTGAAGCAGGGAATGGCTCTTAGCTGCACTCTGTCTCTCCTGGCATCATCTGGGATGTGGTTTCCATGTGGACTTGACTGTCACTTAGAGGCATCACCCAGCTTTATCTTACTTAACCTTAAGCTCACCATTATAGCCCCACTGATAAGCTGTCATCCATGACCCTGGTGTACTCTAGCTGTGTTCCCCTGTTGTACATTTTCCCCTCTTAAGCCCTTCCAAGCCAGGATGGCCACATCAGCAGAGCTCAGATTTGTAGGCACAGGAATCAGACCCTGGGTGTGGGTTCCTTGAAGTGATGGCCGAGGGGCCATTCTTGCTTCTGCATCTTGTACTTTAGCTCTGGGGATGTAGCAGATGTGAACAGGTCATTAGTTTGCTGCATGATTACATCCTAGAGGACGCCACCCCAAAACTCGCAGGGTGCCGCCCCCTACCAGTACCATAGTTGAGCCTTCAGTAAGCCATTTCATCAGGCCAGCTGTTTCTGGGTAACTATCTGTGTTTAAGGAAAGCACCAGAACTCGCAAAGGAGCACTGGGAAGAACATAACATTGACACTGGGCAAAAGGCCAAAGAGGATCTCCGTGATGACTTACAGAGCACGGCCATTGTGTACCTACCATGCTGTGTGCTTTGCTCTTTTACTTTTTCATGCTGATTGTTTTCTGCCCCCCACGCCTCCTCCCTCTCGTTTACACCTGTTTAAAGGAAGAAGTGTGTCACATGACTGCCTATAAAGCTCTTATTTAAAGTTTTTTTTTAAACGTGCATGAGTGTTTTACCTGCATATTTGTAAGTATACCTGTGCGTGTAATGTCCCCAGAGGCCAGGAGAGGGTGTTGACTCTCCTTTAGCTGGAGTTACAGATGGTTGTTAGCTGCCATGTAGGCACTGGGAATTGAACCTAGGTCCTCTGCAAGAGCAGCCAGTGCTCTTAACCGCCAAGCCAGCTCTCCAACCCCTTTTCTTACTCTTCATAGCAGAAAATAAAGTCTTCTTCCTCCAGAGTTCCCGGCACACTTTATGAGTAGTTCCTCTCATAACACTTCATTGTTTTAAGATCTTCCTCATCTGCCTGCAAGTTGTCCTGTGGCTTCCACATGCACGCTGTGGCATGCATGTGTCCAGACAAATACACATACATGATAATATTATTATTAGTATTAATAACAATATTGACAAGCTGAGATGCTTGTCCAAGCCTGGAGCCACCCTCCTGGTTGTCATTATAGGCCTGTCTTAGTTATGTTGCTGACGTTTTGTCCTGTCCTACAAATTCAGTACAGTCTTAAGGAAGACAGACTTCATTAAATGAATATTTGGAATTATTCTGGAATTTACCTGAAAGGGCATGTGGTTTCTAATCCAGTTCTGAAGGGATTCTAAATGTGTTGAATAAAATTCTTAGCTAAAATCCTCATGAAAACTGCTTCCATTACCATCCTTGCAAGATCTGGCTTAGCAGGGGTAAAGGGGCTTGCTGCACAAGCCTGGAGAGCTGAGTTTGATCCCCGGCCCTTACTTAAAGGTGGAAGGAGAGAACTGACTCCACAAAGTTGTCCTCTGATCTCCACATAGGACATGGGTAGAGGCATATAGACCTCCATATGGCTGCGGCACCCCCATAATAATAGTAAAATTTTATGATAAATAAACGAAAATGTTTTTTTAAAAGAAACTTGCTAATACTAATTTTATGTGGTATGTAGATGTCAGTGGGTTTCAAAGGGATTAAGGACCACTTAATTTTACTAGAAATTTGATATTCTACATGTTCATGTAGAGCTTAGCAGGTTCTGTGATTATAATGAAATTCTCATGTTTCAATAAAGTTCATTAAAACAAGATGCAATTTGAATGAATACATATGAGCTTGCAGATGTTTTATTATTGTGCTGCTAGGAGTAATTTCTGTTAGGAATTAACAGATAATTTAAGGGTATTGTAAAAAACATTTTAGGATTGTGGGTTTCATTTCATAATAAAAAGTGTATGTTTTGTCGGGCGTGGTGGCCCATGCCTTTAATCCCAGCACTGGGGAGGGAGAGGCAGGTGGATCTCTTGTGAGTTCGAGGCTAGCCTGGTCTACATAGCCAGTTCCAGGCCAGCTGGGGCTACAGGGAAACCCTGTCTCAAAAAAGACCCCCCAAAAGTGTATATTTAAAATATTTTACATTTATAAAATTTATTATTATTTTATTATTATTCGTGTGTGTGTTTGTGTGTGTATGTGTGTGTATGTGTGTGTGTGAGTGTGTATTTGTCTGGACACATGCACGTCACAGTGTGCATGAGGAAGTCAGAGAACAACTTTCAGACAACTCTGCTTCTATCATTTGGGTCCTGGGGATTGAACTCAGGTCATCATGCTTGCTGGCAGGTGCCTTTACTCACTGAGCCATCTTACAGGTCCGAAAAGTATATCTTAAAATATTTATTTGGTTTTAAAAATATTTTGTTTATTATTTTTATTTTATGTGTATGAGTGTATTGCCTGCATGTATGTGAGTGTACCCGTGTTGTGCAATGCCACGGAGGTCACAAGAGGGCTTTGGATTCCCCTGGAACTGGAGTTAAGGATGGTTCGTAGCCACCATGTGGGTGCTGGGAATCGAACCCGGGTCATCTGAAAGAGCAGTCAGTGCTCTTAACCACTGAACCATCTCTCCAGCCCCTAAAATATTTATTTGTATGAATGATGCTTATGTGAGCTGTAGTATGGAAAAAATCCCCTCTACATTCTAAGAGATTGTGACTCAATGTTGGTTAGTAAGTATTTGTAGTAAAGGGTGGTGATGCACATCTATGATCTCAGGATTTAGGAGGCTGAAGGATCAGGAGTTCAGGATCATGCTGTGCTACACAGTGAGTTCAAGGAAAAATCTGGGCTATGGGAGACCCTGTCTTAAAAGACAAAAACAAAAATGGATTTCTCAGTGGTATTCAGTTTGGCTATTCAAAATTCAGGATGGAGCTTCAATTCAGGTAAACCTCCCAAAAGAATTCAGATTGGGAACAGGTGGACAGGAGATTGAAATCTTGGAGTTGTGACTTTTTTCAGGGGCTGTGCTGGTTAGCTTTACTGATCAGCTTGACACCCTCTAGAGTCATCTGAGAGGAGGGCTTTGATTGAGGAATTTCCTAGATGAGATTGACCTTTGGATATGTCTGTGTGGGGCTGATTGTTAATTGATAAAGGAGGGAACAGCCCACTGTGGGTGGCACCATTCCCTATGCAAGTGGTCCTGAGTAGAAGCCAGCTTGAAAGCCAGCCAGCAAGTGGTGCCCTCCATGCTTCCTGCTGTACTTGTTTGGCTGTGAAATGAGTTCCTCAGTTGGAGCTACCGCTGTGTGGAATAGCAAGCTGAACTGCTTTCAAGTTCCTGCCCTGACTTCCCTCAGTGATGGCCTATGACCTGGAGTTGTAAGCCAAATAAACCCTTTTCTCCTCAAAGTTGCTTTCGGTCAGAGTATTTTATTGCAGCCAACGTAAATGAAACTAGAGCAAGGGTCACATCATAGTGTATAAAAAATAAGCTACTGATCTCTTTAATCCACTTGGAAAAGAATTGCAGTTCATAGCGCAAAGCCCATCACTTACTGGTCAAGTTTTCTCTCTCTGGGTCTGAGTTTATGACTTTGTAGACACGTTGTCTTCATTTTGCTGGGTCTTGAGGGCTGGGCATATGCAAGAGACTGTGCCTTAGCACCTGAGCATCCAGGACTATAACTGCTCTGCCCTTAAGCAGCTGGTGGGTTGGTGGGGGACGTCAGATGTGTAAACACCTGAAGCAGAAGTCATGTCAGTTCTCCTTCACCTGCAGCTTTGCAAGCCACGCTTTTTGTGCGTCATCCAGAAACGGGGAGGCTGCTGGTTAATTTTGATCCTAAAATCTTGGAGGTCGTGCGGGAAACAAAGTGCATGATAAAGATGAGACTGGACGTTCCAGAACAGGCAAAGAAGTTGCTGAAACTGGAAAGCAAATTGAAGGTGGACAAGTTGTATTTGCAGGTAAGATAAATGGAATCTCCTGATTATATTGTGTGTGTGTGTGTGTGTGTGTGTGTGTGTGTGTGATCATGTGCATGTGCAGGAGTGAGTGTGAACCCCAGAGGTTGTCCATGTTGGGTGTCTTCTACTGCTATCCATCTAATCTTTTGGGGCAGGGTCTCTCATTGGACTCAGTGCTCACTGATTGGCTAGACTGACTGGCCAATGAGCTCTGGGGATACACCTTTCTCCGTCCTCCAGTGCCCGGGTTACAGATGCACACAACCACACTGACTTTTCTGTGTGTGTGCTAGGGATCCAAGCACAGGTCCTTATGCTTCTGTGATAGGCACTGTACTCACTGAGCCATCTTCTCAGTCTCATTATTTTTGAAGGAGTTTGTGTGTGTGTGTGTGTGTGTGTGTGTGTGTGTGTGTAAGAAAAATATATCTTAGCAGGTATGCTGACATTGGGAGAAAATTTGCTCTGAAGTTGATCCTTAAAAAAAAACTTTTCAAAAAAGATTTATTTATGTTATGTGTAGTGATGCATGTCTTTGATCTTAGCACTCCAGAGGCAGAGGCAGAACTTGATGAGATTGGTTTACATAGAGAATTCCAGGCCAGCTGGGGCTATAAGGAGGTTCTGTCTTAAAAAACAAAAAGAAAATATTTATTTTAGTGGGCTGCTCAGTGGTTATGAGCACTGACAGCTCTTGCAGAGGACCTAGGTTCAATTCCCAGCACCCACAGGGCAGCTAACAACTGTTCATAACTCTCGTTCCAGAGGATCTGATGCCCTCTTCTGGCCTCTGAGGCACTGCACACACATGGTGCACTTACATCTATATAGGCAAAACACTCATACATATAAAACAATTTTTTTGGTCTTTTTGAGACAGGGTCTCTCTGTAGCCCCAGCTGTCCTAGAACTTACTATGTAGACCAGGCTGGCCTTGAACTCACAGAGATCTGCCTGCCTCTGCCTCCCAAGTGCTGGGATTAAAGGCGTGCAACCACCATGCCCGGCAAAATAAATTTTTAAAAAAGATTTATTATTTATGTGTGTGTGTGTGTGTGTGTGTGTATGTGTGTGTGTGTGTATGCACATGTGAGTGCAGGTGTCCACAGAGGCCAGAGGAAGTGTCAATCTCATGAAGCTAGAGTAATAGCTGTTTGAGTCACTGGATAATGAGTATTGGAATCTGAACTCTAGTCCTCTGATAGAGCAGTAAGCACTCTTGCCCTCTGTACTATATCTCCAATCCATGTTGTTGATAGAATTAAAATACCGACTCACAAAAGAAAGATGTGATTTGAGATAATAATTACAGACTCTCTTAGACTTCTGGATTGTAAGTGATGAAGCAGCAGGTTTAGCAAAGCTTTAATTATAATTTTATGGAGCAAGAGCATTAGCTTTAATATATTTAATACTAGGGTACTAATAAAATATAAATTAGAAAGAGGGATGACCATAAAATAACACGAGTGGAAAAGATTGTCCAATATTTTGATATAAAATAAAGCATTCCAAATCAAGTTCACTTATGAATAAGATATAATAATAATAAAAGAAGATTGCAGACAAAAACTGACATTCAAAAGTGATATGGGTAAATCAAAATATATTCCGGCATTTGGAGAGATTGCTCAGTGGTTAAGAGTGCCTACTGGTCTTGTAGAAGACCCAAGTTGAATTCCCAGCACCTGTGTTGGACAGCTCATGACTGTCTGTAACTGGCTCCAGGGGATTCATCACCCTCTTCTGACTTCTGTGGACACTGCATTCACAGGCACACACGCACACCCACACATCATTAAAAATAAATAAAATAAAAGCATATTGCATTTCTAGTGCTTGATTTCTAAGAAGTGAAGCAAGAGTAGATGGCATCAGATTTCTTTAGAAAGCCTGTTCAAACAGCAAGCTGAAGGGACCCCAGTGTTCTTTGCTTTTTCTAGGAAGTCTGTGGATATATATTTTGGGGCTGCATGAAGATATATAAATGCAAAGATATTCTTTCTAAAAGCATCAGTCATAGAAAGACTGAAATACAAATTCCATAACAAAGGGCTGATTAAATATGGATTATGAGATAAATACATACAAATTAATGGAATATCTGATCATTCAATGAGAAAAGAAGTCTATTTGCTCTGGGGCAAAATGGATTAACTTCTTTTCATCAATACCATAGTGAGTAAATATAGACTCTTCCTGTTTCTTTCTGCAAAGAGTATTTTGAACCTGCTATTTTCAATATGCCGTTACACATAAATCTCTTGGGATTATGAGATAAATACATACAAATTAATGGAATATCTGATCATTCAATGAGAAAAGAAGTCTATTTGCTCTGGGGCAAAATGGATTAACTTCTTTTCATCAATACCATAGTGAGTAAATATAGACTCTTCCTGTTTCTTTCTGCAAAGAGTATTTTGAACCTGCTATTTTCAATATGCCGTTACACATAAATCTCTTGGTTTAATTAAAGTCCATGTCTGGGTATAAGGACAAGTTGGTAGTGAGATTCTTTGGGAAACAAATATAATGAGGCTATCAAAGAATATTTCAAAATTTTATCTCACTAGGAATAATAATAAATTAAAAATGAGTTGCAATGTGTGACAGTAAGGAGGAACAGCAAAGGGGGGATGAACATAATCAAAATACATTTTATGCATATATGAAATTCTCAAAGAATTAATAAAAATTTTATATTAAAAAGAAGAACAGCAAAGATAAGAGGTCTGCTAAACTGCTTTTGTTGTTGTTGTTATTGTTGCTGTTTGTTTGTCTTGAAACAGGATCTCATGTAACCCAGCTGACCTCAAGCTTGTTATGTAGCTGAGGATGACTTTGAACTCCTGATCCTCCCGCCTCTACCGCTTAAGAGCCAAGTTTAGGGCTTATGTAACTATGCGTGGTCAAAACAGTGTTTTAAAAGTAACAACTTGATTTAAATATGATTCAACTACAATGCAACACATTCATTTAAAATATATAATCAAATGATTTGAGAGTTTCCACAAAGTTGCACAATTCTCATCACAATTAATTTCTAGGACATTTTTGTCACCCTCCAAAAGACCCACCCCCATGCCCATCAGCACTCACCCCAAATTTTCCCTCAAGTCTCCCCCCAGCCCTGGAAACCACCCATCCACTTTGTGTCCATGGACCTGCCTGTGTTGGGCATTTCATACAAATGGAATTGTGTACTGAGTGTCTTCTTTCATTAGACCAAGTTCATTCATATTGTTTCGTGTGGGTTGGTACTCCACAGTAATTCATTTTTGTGGTCAAGTAGCATTCCATTGAATAGTTCTACCACATTTTTGTTATTTGCTCTTCACTTGATGGATATTTGGTCTGTTTCTGTCTTGTGGCTATTATAAGTAATTTGACCATGAATGTGCGTATCAAGTTTTTGAGTGGAGGCATGTTTTTACTCTCTTGGATTTTCTATATCTCTATATATAGTGAAATTACTACATTTAGTTAACTTGCTAATTCCGTGTTCAACCTTCTGAAGAACTTCCAGACTATTCTTCAAAGTGGCACATTGCTTTGTAGAGTGAGATGGAATCTGGATTCCCTGTGTCCTTGCCATCACTTGTTATTGCCTATCTTTTGCACCTCCATCATTTGTGTACGCAGCATTTCGATGTGGTTTTGCTGTGCAGTTCCCTGGTGACTAATGATGATCTGCATCTTTTCATGAGCTTATTGGCTGCTTGTAGATTTTTGGTGATATTTATATTCAGATCCTTTGCTCATTTAAGATTTTATTTGATTTTTACAAATTGTGTGTGTGCGTGTTTGTTTGTGTGTGTGTGCGTGTGTGTGTGTGTGTATGCAAGTGAGTGTGGATGCCTGTGGAGGACAGAGACATCAGATCTTTGGAAGCTGGAGTTATAGGCAGTTGTGAGCTGCACAACATGGGTGCTGGGAACTGAACCCCAGTCCTCTGCAAGAGCAACTAGTGCTCTTAACTGCTGAGCCATCTCTCTCCAGCCCCTGTGCTCATTTTTAAATTGGATTATTTGTCTTTTTAATTTTTGAATTATAACAGATCCTTATAGATATTAGTATGTTATCAGATATTTGATTTGTTTTCTACCATTCTGTGGGCTATGGATTTATCATCAGGTGTTCTGGGTGTATGTACTGGCTCATGGTGCGACCAGGAGGCTGACATCATTCACACCACATCTCATGAGATTTCAGTTAGCCTTGGATGATATCGTGAAGGGCAGAGTCGCTTGCTAAGTATCAAGAAAAAATAAAGCTTTGAACTATAAGTAACAGATAAAGAGGAAAGGAATCAAGAACCTGAATGTATTAAGTAACAATGGAAATGATTTAAGCAACTTAATGCTGTATCTCCCACCATCCCCTGTAATAAGTTACCAGCCAGTCAAAACTGGTCATCATGGGTCATCTCTAAAATATCTAAAACAACCTTTACTCCCAGCATTCAGGAGGCAGCGGCAGGCGGATCTTTGTGAGTTTGAGGCCAGCCTGGTCTACATAGTTAATTCCAGGCCATTTGGAGCTATAGGGAGACCCTGACTGACTAACAGCCATCCAAAACTCCAATTCCAGGGGAATTCGATGCTCTCTTCTGACCTCTGCGGGCATTGCATGACACAGATGCACTTACATACATGCAGGCAATATGCTCATACACATAAAATAAAAATAATAAAATATCAAATAAAGAATCCAAAAAGCAATATTAACACATTTAAAGGGAATGCTTCTGTGATTGACAGCTGATGAAAGTGTGTAGTCAGCTGGTATAAGCTGAAATGAACAGCCCCTGTTTGTGCTGGCAGGCCTTCGTGGAAACCGTGTGATGAAAGCTTTTTGTTATGAATCAAAGTGTGACTATTGCTTTCAAATGTATTAAAGCCTCGAGCCCCAATGGCCTAATGGAGGCACTGGCCTCCTAAAATGAATTAAAGTCAAATAATGGCTTTTTGACTTTGTGCAGGGTCTTCTGCAGTATTATGATGAATTATGCCAGGAGGTGCCTTCTGTGTTTGTCAACCTGATGACCCCTAAAATGAAAAAGGTTGGTGTTGCTGAAGGTTTGTATTAATTTCTCTGATTTAAAATTAGCTTCCATTTCTATAGATTATGGCTCTCAGATCATCTGTTCTTGTCTAGCCCCTGACTTTTTCACTTCAACTTCATAGTTCTCTTCTCTCTCTCTCTCTCTCTCTCTCTCCTCTCTCTCTCTCTCTCTGTCTCTCTCCTTCCTGTTGAATGATTTCTTGTCTAAGTCTGATTGCCTTTGAACAACAAGTAAACATGAGTCATGAGCACTTTGTAAAAATTTATGGCAGCTTCCCAGACAGCCAAAAATGATTTAAAACAAAAAGTCGTCTCCATTAAGCGTAATAGTGGGGAAATATAATGAAGGAAATTTATCTTGTACTAGTTTCAAGTAACAAAAGAAAGCCTCTTCTTTATGTACTCCGGTGAAAAATAGAAGCTGTCATCTTTGCTCTTTTTAGGTGGAATCCGTATTGAGGCAAGGGCTCACGATTCTAACGTGGTCGTCTTTAACGCTGGAAAGCTTCTTCCACGAAGTTGAATCAGTTTTGGATATGTTCAGCCAACTTTTAAAGAAGGTAAAATTGATAGTTCTCTTAAAGCTACATACATTAATACTCAGGATATAAGTAATAGTTTAATGATACACAGAGGGTCTTTGAAGGGTATAATTTGGGCTGGAGAGATGGCTCAGTGGCTAAGAGCTTGTACTGCTCTTTCAGAAGGGCTGAGTTTGGTTCACAGCACCTATGTTGGGTGGCTCACAACTGCCTGTAACTCCAACTCCCCTGAGGCCTGACATCCTGGCCTCCATGGACACCTTGGACTCATGTGCACATAGCCACACACAGACACATACACACATAATGAAAAAATATATCTTAAAAAAATAAAGACTAGGCTTTTGGAGCAAGGGGAAGGAGAGATGGCTCAGCAGTTAAGAGCACTGTCTGTTCTTGCGGCAGACTAGGGCTTGGTTCCCAGCACTTACATGGTAGTCAGCAACCATCTGAAACTTGCAGTGGACCAGGGTTCAGTTCCCAGCACCTACCTACGGGGTGGTTAACAACCATCTCAAACTTCAGTTCCAGGGGATCTGATGCTCTCTTCTGGCCTCTACAGGGATTGCATACATGTGGTACATTTACCTACATGCATGCAAAACACTCATATACACAACATAAAAATAGATAAATAATTAAAAATAAAGGGTATGGGCCGGGTGTGGTGGTGCACGCCTTTAATCCCAGCACTCGGGAGGCAGAGGTGGGCGGATCTCTGTGAGTTGAAGGCCAGCCTGGTCTACATAGTGAGTTCCAGGACAGCTGGGGCTACAGGGAGACCCTGTCTCAAAAAGACGAAAAAACAAACAAAAAAACCAAAATAAATAAATAAATAAATAAAGGGTATGACCTTTAACTAAAAGAATGTTAATTATATAAAAGGTAATGTTTTATGTTTCTTGTACTGATTTGGGTTTTTCATCTGGGTTGCCTTGCATTTATCGCTGAATTACCTTGCCTTCAATAGGCTAAGCTGATGGTTCAACTCCATACTGTAGTTTAAAAGTGGGATGATAGCCAGGCATAGTGGCACATGCCTTTAATCCCAGCACTTGGGAGGCAGAGGCAGGCGGATCTCTGTGAGTTCGAGGCCAGCCTGGTCTACATAGTGAGTTCCAGGACAGCTGGAATCCTGTCTCAAAAAGACCAAAAAATAAAAGTAGGATGACTTGGGGGCTGGGAGATGGCTTAGTGCATAAAATCACGAGAACTGAGTTCATATCCCCAGCATGACATAAAAAGCCAGGCTGGGATAGTGCCTGCCTGTAATCTCAGTCTTGGGAGGCAGAGATAGGGGATACCCAGAGCAAGCTGACTGGCTGGACACCACACACACACACACACACACACACACACACACACACACGCATGCACACCTGCATTGTATATGTGCCCACACACAGGCAAACATGCATACACACATGCACACAGCACACACTTACACATGCACACACCCACAGAAAATAGGATGATTGTAGGCTGCTAAAGACAGGAAAGTGACATGCCTAAGTGTTAACATTAATGCATCTGACTCTAACTGGTGGAGGCAATAGTCTAGTAGAAGATGACCTGCTGATTTCTGATGTCGGCTCTACAGAACATGCGCGTCTTTTTAAATGTGCAAGTCTCTTTGTGCTATCATGATGTCATAGACAAACTCAGAGGCTTCGGAGTCAGCTAACCTGGGGTAGGCTCCTCTGCTTTTCACTATGTGTTTTTTCTTCATTTACTTTCCTTTTATGAGCCTTGGTGTCTTTAGCTGTAAAGCTGGGGCATGAATACATGAATGCCTCATTTGCTGCATGATGAGGATCAAAGGAAGTCACCCATATGAGCGGTGTTTTGGCCCACACTGTTTTAGATTCATGTCAAGCTTTCTTTGCACATGTATTCTTAAAAATTTCACCAAATTATGCTTGGCTCAGGAGGCAACTTTCTAGATTTAGTTCTCTAGATTAATTTATTTTAAATTATTATTTTTATTTTCAAAAGGTTTATGTGTATGAGTGTTTTGTCTGCATGTGTATATGTGTACCATGTGTGCGCAGTGCCCTTGGAGGCCAGAAGAGGGAGTTAGAGCCCATGGAACTTGAGTTACAGATGGTTGTCAACTGCCATATGGGCAGTGGGATCTGAACCCAGGTCCTCTGCGAAAGCAGCCAGGGTTCTTAACCTCTGAGCCATTTCTTTAGCCGTGTTTAAATTAATTCATAACTTAAGTACATTTTGGCTGAAATGTTTGTGCTAAAGGGAAAGAGAGTTATTTCCTAATTAATTTTTTTTCTTGTGGGAAGGTCAATGACTTGTGTGAAATGCATATTGATACAGTTCTGAAGGAGATAGCCAAGACCCTACTGATTTCCTTGTCGGATACCGGTGCCAGCAGATTAGAAGACATGCTGGACCTGAATGAGGTATGCATTATTATATCATAACAACACACATGTGGAGTCACAGGCCTACAGTGTGAATTGGCAATCTAGAAGCAGGCATCTGGGCTTGTAGCATGTTTATTTAGAACCAGCTTTTTGGTGGGGAAATATCCTCAGTATAAAGACTTACCGTCTCTAAAAGTGCAAGTCCAAGACCAAACATAGATGTGATTTTACTAAAGTTCTTAAATTAATGCTGGTTTTCCTCAGGGCTCTGTCAGCAGTTCTCGATTCTTCCCTCAGTACGTGCTCCCAGAGCCATGCCAATTTTATTGTTGTTTACCTAGACGCTTTCCAATTAGGTCACTCAGAAACCTGGGAATCATCACTTCTCCTCACTCCTTTTCCTAAATCCATCTAGTCTTAAGGCTGAGCCAGGTTTTGCCAGATCTTGCTTAAATCATCTCTCTTCTGTTCCTACTTCCCATTTCTTAGATCAGACCCTTTAACAGCTTTATGCTGTGACCTAACTGTTCTTCCTGTTTCTATATCTGGCCTGCCATATTCAGCCATACTGCCACTGTATCTGATTGTGCAGACTTTTGGTTCAAGTCTTCCAAAGGCAGTGGTACCTAGTCCTTACAGCATGAAATCTAACCTCTTAGCGTCCTGTTCCTTTGATATTTATTTTTTTGATTCTTTAAAATCTATTTTTACTTTTACATGTATGAATGTTTTACCTGCATGTATGAACGTACACCCGTGTTGTGCAATGCATGTGTAGGCCAGAAGAAGGAGTTAGATCCCCTGGAACCAGAGTTTCAAATGGTTATTAGCTGCCACGTGGGTGCTGGGAACTGAATCCAGGTCCTCTGCAAGAGCAGCCAGTGCTCTTAACTGCGGAGCCATCTCTCCAGCCCTACTAAGTCCAGTCAGTGAATTTGTACACATCTTTTAGCTTGTGTCTTTCTCTAAGATACAGAGCACTTCCCCATCCAAATGATTCTCTTGTGCTCTGTTCCAGGCCGTCTTCTGCCCTGTTCCCCCATTTGACTTTCATGATTGTACACTCATGTTGCCCAGAAGTTTGGTCTTTACTTCATAGGAAATAGTGTGACATATATATTTTTTAATTTATTTTTTAATATGAATGAGTATATTGCCTGCATATATGCAAGTACATCCATGTTGCGCAATTTCCGTGGAGGACAGAAGAGGGAGCCGGATCCCCTGGAACCAGAAGTATGAACAGTTGTTAGCTACTATGGGGGTGCTAGGATTTGAACCTGGGTCCTCTGCAAGAGCAGCTGATGCTCTTAACTGCTGAGCCATCTCTCCAGCCCTGTGACATATGTTCTTTTTAAAAAAAAATTTTAAATTTGTTATTTTTATTTTATGTGTATACATGTATTACCTGTATGTAGGTAAGGGCACCCATGTCGTGCAATGCCCGTGGAGGTCAGAAGAGCCTGTTGGATCCCCTGGGACTGGAGTTATAGAAAGTTGTTAGCTGCCATGTGGGTGCTGGGATTTGAACTCAGGTCTTCTATAAGAACAACCAGTGTTCTTAACCACCGAGCCATCTCTTCAGCTCCACATTCTTTATATTTATAAAGTTGTGACTCACCTTATTATTTTGTTCTTTCTTACAACACTATATTATTCTACTGTATGAACATCTTGCAATTCACCTATGCTATTGAGGACATTTGCATAGCTTGTAACTTTTGATTATACACTGAATATTATTATATATGTGTTTTTGTTGACTTTTGGTGAGTATCCAGAAATGAAATTGCTGGGTCATCCATTGTAAATATATTTGACTGCAGTACTGTTCCAGGAAAGTTTGGGGAGTCCCTTCATGGTCACTAGATGAGACTGGGGAAATCAGGGTTTCCTCTTGGGATTCTTAGTCTTATTAATCAGAGAATTTAAGAATGGACTCTAGTGGAAGTTTGAGGACAATTTTATTAGAACGTGAAAGAAAACCCCAGGACAGGCAAGCTGTAAATTTCATCAGCTGCCTGGAGATGGAGAATAGAGAAGGAAGGAAGAAAAGCCATGCTGGTTTAGAGAAGCCGGCATGCAGGTCAGCCAGCCACATGACAGACAAGCAACACACTGATGGGGGGAGCTTTAGAGAGAGCACGGAGTCCCAAAGCACCAGAGAATGCGTGCTTAGGGCAGAGACAGGGAAGAAAAGGAAATATTCCACTTTCCTGAGCACTTCAGAAAATCAGGAAGTTTATGGCTGCAGCCTTGTGAGCTACTGCGATATGGGGTGGGAATTATGGGAAGGAAAAGTACACCATCTCATTAAAGGGGTACTTATTCCCCCTCCACCTAGCTTTTTAGCTTGGCTTAAGGTGAACCTACCTTTCTAAGGGGTGGTCCCGCCTCCCCGAGGGGTGTCAGACTCTTTAGCTAGACATTGGGCTTGTCTTAACTGGAATGTTCGGTTTCCACCCAGGTCAGAGAGTCTATTTTCTTAATCAGAAGGAGTTTTTTTCTTTTCCTCTCTCTTAATAGGCTTTTATTGCTAGTCTAACAGTAGAAATACCTCTTTGGAGAGCATCCATTTGAATTAGGAGCCTGTTGGGTTGGGTTTTTGCACCAGACTGTTATGTTTCTGAACCTATAGGGGCTCATTCCTCACCTCTCCTCCTCCTTCCTGTTTGACTTGCAACTTTCTTACTGTGATAACTAACAGAAAACATATATTTAACCATTTAAAATATTTTTATCCTTCATTTATTCTTTGACAATTTCATACACGTATATATCTCGATCATACCTACCTCCAGCTCCTCCCTCCCTCCCACCTCCATGCCCTCTCTGTCTTCCTTCCTTCCTTCCTTCCTTCCTTCCTTCCTTCCTTCCTCCCTCCCTCCCTCCCTCCCTCTTTCTTTCACTCTTTCTTTCTTTCCTTCCTTCTTCTTACTGAATCCAGTTTGCTGGAATGCTGACTGGTCTTTGTTGGCTTGATCTTGTTCAGGACTTGTGCAGTTACCACAGCTGCAGTGAGTTCATGAGTGCAATGGCTGTGTTGTGCCCAAAGACAGCATTGCACAGCATCCTTCCCATCCTCCTCCAACTCTTGCATCCTCCCCACCCTCTCTTCTTCGGAAACTTGTGGTTCCTCTAACCATTTTAAGAGTATATGTCAGTGATATTAAATATACTTACAATGTGACATAACCACCAATGTTGTCTAATTTCCGGAAATTTAAAGAAAATTTATTGAGTCAAGAATTTCAGTGTGTTTTGATCATGTTCCAACCCCCTCTCCAATCTCCACCCTTACCCCCCCCCAATTTCATGACCTCTGTTAGCATATGGAAAACCCCATCTATCTTATGTACCACATCTGAACTGGGTGTCAAAGAAGTCCTATCTCATTAGAATGCCAGTGATCTATAATTCTTAAACACAGATGGACCAAAGTAAGGGCCAGTTTCCTTTCCTTCACACATGATTTTGGGTCAGAATACATCCAGGTTTTTTGGAATGAACTTTTCGTATGTATTTTCTGTTTCTCTTACACGCCGCTTAGGGCTGTCATGTAGGAATTTCTCTTTCCATCAGTGATCAGAGCTGCTTGGGATTCTTCATCAAAGACGGCTGTACACAGTCCAAGTACGTGCAGGTTACACTTCGGCTGTTTCTGGGCTTCACACAGCGCACTCACCCCACTTTGGTCCAAAGCATTCTCCAACAGGTAGATGTTCCCCAGAGGGTTTTTCTGTGGGTAAAAGCAGAACGTGGGTCTTCACTGCAGGCAGCAGTTGACTCATGGACCTCCAACCCAAGAGTCTCTGTGTGACAGCTGGGATGTTTCACAGCCTCACGTGACAGTTGTCCATTACTGTTCTCTATACCAGTGTCTTCTGGATTATTTTCTGTAATCTGTAGACTTCTCAGGTTCCTATTGCTGTTACAGACTGCAGCTAGGACTTGATAGCCCATGGATGACGGTGATTGCCTGTATGACCATTGGAGTGCTGTGCAGTGAACTGTCGCAGGCCCAGCCCCTGGCAAGAGCAATGCACCGGGATACTGTATAGCGGGGTGGTCGACACCCCCACCTGATTGTGCCCACTTACCCAAGCTTGGCAGCCAGGAAGGCCCAGTGTCCCAGAGACCCAGGGGTGCACTGTGCTTGTGAGTAGACATCCAGGCAGGTGCAGCTCTGGTCACCATCTTGGCTCCCTGGTTATTTTTCCTCTTAACTTGTCAAGTCCTGAGTTCAGAATTTTAAGAGCTATGTGGGAATGCCAGGCTTCTTAATTAAATGAGGAGTCCCTGTGTTTCCGGAATGCCCCACTGCCACCACCTTCAGGTTCCACAGCCATGTTGTTGCCATCTTGGCTCCCAGATCTTTCTCTTTCTTACTTGCCCAGGCCTGAGGTCAGAGTTTTTAGATCAATATAGAATCACGTGTGGTCAGGGAGGCATTCATCTTGTATGATAAGGTTCCCATATGGTCCAGCACATGCACTCAGTCTCTTGGGAGCCAGTGCACCCAGGGCCCTGAGGCTGGCTGCCTCCACCTTTTTTACCCTCTCCCTTGAGAACTTTTTCATCATCTAACTATTGTGTTATGCATACGAGGTCCCCTACTCTCCTATCTCCAGCCATTAGTCACCCCTCTTCTGCTTCCTATTCCTGTGAGTTTGCCTCCTCTTGATATCTCATATAAATAGAATCATATAATATTTATTCTTTGATAGACCAAAGACACAATTCCACTCAAATTCAATTTGGTGAACAAATGAACTCACTGGATTACTTACAGGAGCAAGGGTCACCAATTTCTTACAAGAGCTGTGGTGACCCCCAGACAGACTGATCATTAAAAGCCCCATCCAGCATGGGTGACAACCTCCTCCAAACTATGTAGATGGAGTCCTTTCTTCAGTTAACCTTCCACCCACTGTGTACTCCAGTCTAGCATCTTATGAGACCAGGTACAATCTGAGCAGGATTACATGCAACTGGGAGGGGGATTCATGAGGGACTGAGTGCCTGGAATTGTAGGTGAGGGTCTAATGACCCTGCCCATCCCCTCCTTCTATGAAGGAACTCAGTTGGGTCTTGTTGAGCGTCTCTTGTGGGTAGTCACAGTTTCTCTGATCAAGAATGTTTCCCAAAGCCGGGTGTGGTGGCACACGCCTTTAATTCCAGCACTCGGGAGGCAGAGGCAGGCAGATCTCTGTGAGTTCAAGGCCAGCCTGGTCTACATAGTGAGTTCCAGGACAGCTGGGGCTACAGGGAGACCCTGTCTCAGAAAGACCAAAAGAATGTTTCCAAAGAAATGTCCAGTTTCTGCCCGGTGTTTACTTCTCACTGATCCTAGAATCTCAGCGTAAGCGTTTCATGAAGGGTTTGCCGACATGCAAACAGAATACACAGAATTGGGGGAATTTCTGCATCAGTTTCCTTCCTTTTGTCCTATTTATAATGAATTCGTCTTCTCATGGTGCGTATTCAGAATTATTTTGACATTATTAATTGCTGAGCAAAAGAAGCTCATGCTGTTAGAGAGAAAGTGTTTTGAATTCACAAACAAAGAACTTTCCCATGAATCAAAAGGGAAACAGACCACACAAAGAAGGGAGATTAGGCTAGACAGACAAGATGTAATGTGCTGTTTTGTGTTGATGGTTCAATAGGAAAACCTGTAATGAGATAAGTGGCCGGTCTTGGTGCTATAAGTTGAGATCAGAAGGCAGAATTCTGAAGAGCACCTTTGTCAATCAGTTATTTCCCCTGGAGTAACTAAAAACCTAGCCACGCTTAGACTGCCTGCCCAGAAGCCTGCCATGGGGCGGACAACTGTAGGCAAGACAGAAGATGATTTGTAAGGGTAGTCAGGTAACATTGTGGGTAGAGAAATCAGTTTTGGAAACATCATATACACAATACTAATTTTTTGGAGTGGAGGCGGATGAGCTTGGCTGGAACCAAGCAGTTGTTAACCATGAGGCCATTGTTTGAACCTGTGAGCATGGAAGGAGTAGATAGTGACACCTCACCTTCCCGTTCCTCCTGCTGATCACTTCTGCTGGTGCATCTCACTGGTTCAAGCCCATTGGAATCCAGAGCCCTTTCCACTATATAGGACTGCATCGTTTTACATCTACCATGAGTGCACAGTACATATGGGATCCTATTTCTCTACATACATCCCTGCTGACCTTTGTTATTGCTTTAGTTTGCTTTCTGTTGCTGGAATGAAACACTCTGACCAAAAGCAACTCATGCCTTCCACTTCCCGGTCATAATTCCTCATTGAGGGAAGTCAGGGCAGGAGCTCAAGGAACTGAAGCAGAAACCACGAGGGATGCTGCTTACTAGCTTGGTCCCAGGCGCAGACTCAGCTACCTGTCTTTTTAAAATATTTTATTATTTTTATTTTATTTTATGTGTATGAGTTTATTGCATGCATGCATGTAAGTGCACCCGTGTTGTGCAATGCCCGCAGAGATCAGAAGACGGCGTCAGATCCCCTGGAACTGGAGTCACAGACAGTCTTTAGCTTCCATGTGGGTGCTGGGAATCAAACCTGGGTCCTCTGCAAGAGCTGTCAGTCTCTTAACCACTGAGTCATCTCTTCAGCCCTGAGGGAGGCATTTTCTTAATTGCTGGTTAATGTAGGAGGGCCCAACCCACTGTGGGTGGTGTCATCTTTAGGGAGTTGGGCCTGAGATGTATAAGAAAGGAAGCTGAGCAAGCCGAGAGGGAGTGAGCCAGTGAGCAGCGTTACTCCATGGTTTCCGCTTCCAAGTCTTGCTCCAATGTAGTCCCTGCCCTGCTCTGATTTTCTTCAACGGTGAACTGCGATATGTAAGACGAAATAAATCCTTTCCTCTCCAAGTTGTTTTTGGTCATGGTGTTTATTTCAGTAACAGAAAGCAAAGTAGGACATAGGAGGAAATAGTATTTCCTCAGGACTGAAAAAATGAGCAGATACATCGCTAAGAGAGGACCAGGGAAGAGGGGAGCACGAATGGGGGATAGTGGTGGTGGAGATTGGCCCCCTCCAGGAATTTTCTGGAGAGACGTTTCATGGAGAGGCTCAGGCTCTTTTCTGGATGTGTTTTGAAGGCCCAAGTTGACTGCTCTCGTTTACTCTTTTCTAAACTGCTTGTTGGACATTGGCTCACCCAGTTTTGTAAGCCAGTTTCTCTTCTGACTTTGACTAGTCCTCAGCTTCTTCTTGAAGCCTCTTCTGACTATTGGAAAAGGTCATATCCAGGACTTCATGCATGCTAGGCAGGCATTCTACCAACTGAACTCCACCCTCGGCTCCAGTACGCATAAGCTGTTAAACAGATGCCCAGCAATAGAGCCATACTCAAACAGTACCTCATTTAAATCTCAAAGCAACAGTTTGGATTGTCCCCTCTTAAAACTATATCTCAATTTCAACTTTTGGCAATAACTTTTTACCTAGATCTATGTGTGGCTGAGTCAGATGTAGATCAAAGATTGGATTTTTCTTCTTTCTTTTTCTTTTCTTTACAGCTTTCTTTTGGTTATTGGCAATTTCGGATCCAAGACATTAAACTTAAGGGGTGTGAATACCTCCCCAAAAGACATGAAGCCATTGACAAATCTCTATCACATGTCACCTATCTATTTATCATCTATTAATCATCTATCAATCTTATATTTATCTACCTATCATCTATAATTTATCATCCATCTATCATCTATTATCATCTATCTCTATCATCATCATCATCTATCAACTATCAGCTATCTATCATCTATATCTATCATCTATCATATCTATCTCTATCATCTATAATCATCTATCTATCATCTATCTATCATCATCTATCATTATCTATCTATCTATCTATCTATCTATCATCATCATCTATCATTATCTATCTATCTATCTATTATCATCTATCATCTATCTATCTATCTATCTATCTATCAATCATCATCTATCATTATCTATCTATCTATCTATCTATCAATCATCATCTATCATTATCTATCTATCTATCTATCTATCTATCTATCTATCATCATCTATCATCTATCTATCATCTCTATCATCTATCTATCTACCTATCTAATATTTATCCACCTATCATTTATCAATTTATCATCTGTCTATCCTTGCAGTGCTGGGGAGTGGAATCCAGGACACAATAGACAAGTATCCTACCACTGAGCAACACTTCCAGTCTTTCTGCTTACTTTTAAGTGAAATTAGTCATAGTTTTAGAAATTAAAGTCATAATATTTTCATAGAATTTTTAAGGTGTCTGAGAATGAACAGTAATTTCTTTATTCAATAGACATATACAAAAGAATGGGCAGACATTCTAAATCACAAAAGCAGACATGTGGAAGAAGCCGTGAAAGAGCTGATATTAATATTTGAGCAAATTTATGAAGTCAAGTACACCGGGACACCAACAAAACAGGTACCAGGTAATTTCACTCACGAATGTTTGAGTCTCGAGTTACAGCTATGTTCTCCCATGGGTGCCTCCTGCTCAGCAGATAGCAGAGTTTCAGATTCCTCGAAGGAAAGCAGGTATTGAGCATAAACCACACTGCACACACAAACAGTTTAGATCCTGTGAGCCCTGGTTGGCAGTAAGAGAATAGTGAGACCTTCTTGAAATCCAAGTTCCTAGATGCCAACCTGTTGGATCTCCGGGACCCTCATAATTGTGGCATAACTTATGATGAGGCCTATTGTAACTTCCTGAGCCTGACTAAAGTTTGGCAACCTGTCTCTGGCCGGTCACTTCCTCGTGGAGGTGACTCAGCAGGGCCCGACCTCGGACTGCCTCTCCCCAATCACAGCTGGCGTGGCCAATTCCCAGTGGCTCACAGCCATTGCCCCAGATGACATACACCTTTGCCCTTCCCTTTTCCACACCCCTTTTTGTTTAAACTATATAAGGTAATGCCTGATGCAATAAAGTGAGTTCTTGCCTCAACAAGACTCCCAACTCGGTGTGGTTTTTGAGCCGACACTCACTATCCCGCTCAGCCCCTAAGAGAGGAACACAGGCTGGTCCTGGCCTCTCTTCCTGTGCCGTACCTGTCGGAGAGCGATCCGACACCAACCAACAGCCAACCTTTCTGTGGAGAGGGCTCTCAACCTGCATTGTTACCTGTTGGGGGACCCTGCTGCTAAGGTTGTAGTCCTCCATGTCCGGATAGCTCTAAGGGGCTTGGTGCTATATGGAAGGACTCCCTTTTTCAGTGGGGGCCTCCTGTTCTCTGCCTGACTTACCTGGAAAGTGCCACCAAGCACGGATGCCTGACCTTATTTGGAACACAACCTTTGGCATAGTTACCTGCAATAAAACCCCCAGGTTTTTTCTACATGATAACTAGGCATTGCCCTGTAGTCGGATGATAGGACCCCCCTGCCACATGTACATAAAGCATACTATGAGGATCTATCAGCTGAGGCTTTGGCTACTGCCTCCACACTATATTTTCCCTAACCTCCACTGAATAAACAGAGCTGTTTCACTGAGTCTGGGCTGTATCACTGAATCTGCCTCCCGGAAGGGCTTTCTCCTGTCAGTGCTCACTGGCCATCCTGACCCCATTCTTTGCTTCTGCTCCCTTTGTTCTCATGGATCGGTGGCCAACGACCCACGAGGGGAGGGAGCGACCCCACAGTTACCTATTTTGTGATTCATTTATTTTTATTATATGTGTATGAGTGTTTTGCCTGCATGCATGTGAGTGTACCTGTGTCATGCAATGCCCATGGAGGACAGAGATGGTGTCAGATTCTTTGGAACTGCAGTTACAGGTGTTTGTGAGCCACCTGACCATGGTGTGGGGAGCAGAACTTGGGGTGCTCTGGAATAGCAGCAAATGCTCTTAACTGTTTAGCCATCTCTCCAGCCCTGAGATTTATGTCCTTTTAACAATATTTTTATTTATTATTATTATTGTTATTATTTTTAATTATTTATTTCATAACCATATGACTAGAAGAGGCATTTCATTACAACAGCATTGACATATTCAATATCAACTTCTAGAGCTAAGATGCTTCTCTTTCAAAACTAGCTGTAAATTATTAGGTTTACAGTTGAATTAATTCAGTTATACAATATTGTACTCTGTATAAACCCTATAAGACATAAAATTAAACGAAGTTTTAAACTTTAAAAAAGATATCAATTTCATTATTAAAATACACAGTTTCATACAGAAAACTTCATTTTTAATACAACTGACATTAAGACGCATATGTGTTTCTAATTTTTTTTTTAAAAATTAATTTTAAAATTTTGAAAAATATAAAGTCATCAGGTAGATTTCAATGGTATTGTTTTTCACATCTACTAATTATTAAGGAGAAAATTTTTATGCTTTGAAGAATTATTATAATTTTTAAAATTTATTTATACACCCACTTCCCAGGTAGCACCTTCCCATAGCCTCCCTCCCCTGACTAGAGCCCTTATTCTCTGATATCCCTGCTACTGTCTGCTGTGTTGTCGGCACCCCCAGCCATTCCCCACTACTTGCCCTTCTGGTGAATCTAGTCAGCCTATCTAGAGGCCTTTGTTTTAGGAGGGTCAGCTGTTCCTCATCTAGCAGTAATCAGTTGTCAATATTCCTTTGGATAAGATCTTATTATTTTTATTTTATGTGTATGAGTGTATTGCCTGCACCTATGTAAGTGCACCTGTGTTGCGTAATGCCTGAGAAGGTCAGAAGAGGGTATTGGATCCCCTGGAACTGGATCCATACCAAGGGCATAAACCATAATAAATTCATATAAAAATATGTTATATGGTTTTTCCAATAGCGCAAGAGACCCCGAGAAAACTTTGGTGGCATCATGCATCTATCTATCATTTATCTATCTATCTATCTATCTATCTATCTATCTATCTATCATCATCATCATCTATCATCTATCTATCCTTCCATCATCTATCTATCATCTATCTATCTATCTGTCTGTCTGTCTATCTGTCTATCTATCTATCATCTATCTATCATCATCATCAATCATCTATCTAATCTATATATGCCTTTCAAGTCTAATTTCTGTCCCCAGATGTCCTTTGGTGTGGATTGCTTTTCCCAGGGCTCTGTGCTTTCTCTCATCTGGCCAGCTTGGCTATCTCACACCCAGATGCAAGCCCTTTTTTTGTTGTAGTTTTTCAATGCTTGCTTTCATTTTATCAATTGGCAATATCATATAATGCTTTGATCAAGTCCAGTCCCCTGTTCTTCCCCTTCGATTCCTCCCTTATAACTGTCACCTCTATTCCCTCCCAATTTCCAAATTTCATGTTTCTCTTCTTTTTAAACCCCTGGAGTTCACATAGTGCTGCATGTGCATGGGTGTGGGGCCATCTACTGGAGCATAGGTAGCTTCTCGGGCTGCATCCCTGAAGAAAACAGGAGCTGGCTTTGTGAGTGAATTGAGAGAACATTCTAATCAGAGATCCCATGGAAATGGTATTGTCTGGGGGAGGAGGGAGGGAAGGAGGGAGGGAGAGAGAGAGAGACAGAGAGAGAGACAGAGACAGAGACAGAGAGAGACAGAGAGACAGAGACAGATGCAGTAGTCTAAAGTTCATGACCTGTCTTTTCAACCAGTACTGAGCATCAAAGACCACAGTGATTCTCAACAAAGGGGTGGGACCTCCCCCCCACTACCACCCCCCCAGGAACATTTGACAAAGTCTGGAGGCGTCCTTGGTTGGCACACAGTATGGGTGGTCACTAGTGGCTTCTAATGCATAGAGGCCAGGGATTCTGGAAAAACATCCTCCAGGGCAGCCTCAGTAGCAAAGGATTATGGGTCTCAGAATGCCAGTAGCCCTGATCCAAAGTGAGTATTCTCAACACAGTGTCTTCCTCTTAGAGTTTTCCACTTTTTACCTGTTCATGTCCCAAGTGTCAAAATCACAAAATATCAGTTCATTAAGTTACAAAACTCAAGGTATAAATGGATAACTGAGAGAGATGTGGTGTGTGTGTGTGTGTGTGTGTGTGTGTGTGTGTGTGTACACCAGAGACCAGTTCAGATATTTTTCTTCAGGATGCTGTCCACCTGGGTTTAAAATTTTAAAAATTACATTTATTTATTTGTTGTTTGTTTGTTTGTTTTGTATATGTGTGTGTGTGTAGAGCACCATGCCTGTGTGGACATCAGAGGACAACTTTTGGAAGTCAGTTCTCTTCTTCCATCATGAGGGTTCCAGGAATCGAACTCAGGTCCTCAGGCTTGGCAGCAAGTGCCTTTACCCACAGAGTCATTTTGCCAGCCCACATTTAGGTTGTTTCTGAGACAGACTTTCTCACTGGCCTAGAATTCACCAGTGGCTAGGCTGGCTAGCCATTGAGCCCCAGGCATCCACCTGACTCTGCCTCCACAGTGTTGGGATTACAAACACGTCACCATCTTTGACTTTTCATGTGGGTGCAGGAGACCAAACTCAGGTCCTCCTGCTTACATATAGACTAGTCTGGCCTCAATCTCACAGAGATCTGCCTGCCTCTGCCTCCCGAGTGCTGGGATTAAAGATGTGCACTACCACACTTGATATTTTTCCTCATTCTAGATACTAAGAGTATATTGATGGAATATATTTCAGATGAATGATGATTCTTTTGAGATGGATAATTTAAGTTGAATTCCTAAAGAAGGCAAAAGAAATCCTAAATGGAAAAATAGTTTTTGTAATATTTTAAAAAATAAGATTTATTTAATTTTATTTTAGATGTATGAGTGTTTTGCATGTGTGTATGTAAATATACCACATGCGTGCACTGCTCACAGAGGCCAGAAGAAGGCATTGGAGTCCCTGGAACTAGAATTACAGATAGTTATTAGCTGCCATGGGGGTGCTGGGTGCCCAAACCGGGTCTTCTGCAAGAGCATCCAGTGCTCTTAACTGCTGAGCCATCTCTCCAATCCCAGAACTTTTTTTTTAAATCTAAAAGGAACTTCATAATAAGGATGGGTCACATAGGTTAAGTGTAATCCTGAAAAGTCAAGTGTTCCATTTTTGCTCTGTCTTCTGTTTCTAGAGCAGAGGAAACATGTGGTTTTTGGAAGTGAAACGGAGGAAGGTGACAGCCTGGACTTTGAGGCTGAGGTGAGAGAAGCTGACATCAATGACAAAGATGAATTTAAGAAGGTATTTATCATGGGACAACCTCACATAGTTTCCTGGAATTATGAATCATAAGACTGTAGATAACACAAATGGGGCTGCATTTGGGCAGGTCTGAACCATTCTTATAGCAGAACCCAGAAAATACAATGTTCAATTTTTTTTCTTACATTGTAGGATCAGAAAAGAGCTGGTCATCTTTACAGTCTTCCCCAATGTCCTCATTTTGATACGATTCTACTCAGCAGGTTACATAATATTATACTGATTGCCTGTGTTTCTTTTTTTAAATATTATTTTAGTTTTATGTGTATGAGTGTATTGCCTGTATACGTATAAGTGCACCTGTGTACGTATAAGTGCACCTGTGTTGTACAATGCCCACAGAGGTCAGAAGGGGGCATTGGATTCCCTGGAATTGGAGTTATGGTTGGTTGTTAGCCACCATGTGGGTGTGGGGAACTGAACCCAGGTCCCAGTTAAGAGCCAGTGCTCTTAACTGCCGAGCCATCTCTCCAGCCCCCTTTGTTTCTTTTCTTAAAGATTATTTTTATTTATTTATTTATTTATTTATTTATTTATTTATTTATTTATGTGTGTACGTTCATATGTGCATGTGTGTACTGGTGCCCATAGAGGCCATAAGAGGAAATCAGATCCCCTGGAACTAGAGTTGGAGGCTGTTGTGAGCTGCCCAGTGTGGGTGCTGGTAACTAAACTCAGGTCCTCTGCAAGAGCAGTGTGTCCTCTTAACCATTGGAACATGTCTCCAGCCCCCTGTGTTTCTTTATATAGAAAGTACGACTTTGGGGGTGTTGGGGCCATTACAGTCACCTCAGAGTGCAGTCCTGGTCCCAGTTCTGGACGTCGCTACCTCTTTTGTACAAATTGCTGCTCCTTCATTCTGTCACTTTCCCTTCACCCCTTTGTTGACTTAACTTTTGTCACTCAAGGAGACATGAACAAATGTTACTCCAGATAGAGCATCAACAACAGACCTAAGAAACTATTCCACCAGAGTCTAGCTTGGTGAACCGATGAGTTTATTGAGTTTACTTATAGGAGCATAGAAGGATGAGGGGGTCACTTTAGGTATTACCAGTGAGTAAAACCAGAACAGTTGCATTGATGAGAAGTCCCAACCCAATGTGGATGGTGAATTCCTCATAGATGGAGTCTCCCTTTCAGCTAGTCCTCTACATCCAGAATATTCTAGTACCTCCTAGGACCCTATGCAGGTGGGACAGCATCGCCTATCTCTGGTGATGGAAGGGGGTATGTTGTACAGGAAAGAGTGCCTGGAATCTCAGGTGAGGGTCTAATGATCTACCCCACCCTGTCCTGTCCGAGGTGCAGTCATCAGGCCCCATCCTGAAAGTATCTTTGCAGGTTATCACCTTTTTTAAAAATTAAAATCATAATGGTTGTTATGCCTGGAGGACTATATTCCACAACACCCACATCCTCTCTGCGGTGGTTTGAATGAGGAATGTCCCCCATAGGCTCCAAGTGTTTTGGTACTTGGCCCCAGTTGGTGGGGCTGTTTGGGGAGGTTTAGGAGGTGTGGCCTTGCCGGAGGAGGCACACAGCTAAGGTGGGCTCTGAGAGTTCATAGCCTTGCCCCACTCTTAGTGTCTCTCAGCTTTCTGCTCTGACTGCCTCTGCCACCATGCCTCCCTGCCGAGCTGCTCAACTCCTCTCCCTCTGGAACCAAATAAACTCTTTTTTATAAATTGCTTTGGTCATGGTGTTTTATCACAGCAACAGAAAAGTGATACACTCCATTTTAAAAAAAAAAGATTTTATTTATTTTTATTTTTATGTGTATGAGTGTTTTGCCTGCATGTAAATGCACCCATATGGTGCAGTGCCCATGGAGGACAGAAGAAAGTGTCAGAGTCCCCTGGAACTGGAGTTCAGGATGGGTGTTAGTCACCATGTGGGTGTTGGGAACGGAACCTGGGCCCTCTGGAAGAGCAGCCAGTGGTCTTAACCACTGAGCCATCTCTCCAGCCCCCTCATTCACTTCTGTTTTACTAACACTCACATGCTCTAAATCAGTTTTGGAAATTAGCAAATAGAATATATTTATTCTATTTTTGCCTTCCTGTAGCAGTATAGATTTGGGGGAAGGGTGTTGAGATAGGGTCTCCTGGTAGCCCCAGGTGGCCTGGAACTTGCTGTGTAATCCAGGCTGGCCTTGATCTCACAGGGATGTGCCTGCCTCTGCCTCCTGAGTTCTGGGATTAAAGGTTTGCACCACCAACCCCTTAGACTTCTCAGTACCAGGCACCAGACAATCCCCAACCACCAGAGGGAGTCAGCTGGAGAGGAAGCAGTCCCTCCCTCTCTTCAGTCCTTGTCTGAGGTGTGCTCTTGTCATTAAGGCAAGACTGAGCACTGTCAGTCTCTCCCCTTGGGGACCACTATCACCTCTGCCTCTCAAACCCATCTCCCACAGTGCTGCCAGAATGGTCTCTAACAGATTTGGACCGTATCTGTGCTTTAGCTAGGTAATTCATCAGCAGGAACCACTCTCAAAAGCTTGACATACCTGCTTGTTTGGAGAACTCTTCTGTCTCGACTTGACCTGACTCTCCCACTAGCCTTAAAGGGGCAGGGCTCCACGGTAATCAAAAGACAAACAACCAGGACCTGGCCCAGCATGGAATTCATGATAGAAGTCAAAGGTTCTGGAGGAAGTGGGAACTGGTCTAGCACACAGGACCTGAGTTTGAGTCCTATCACGACCAAGCCCCATTTCCAAATCATGATGATAAAAAGTAGGGCTGGATCCACTACACCTATATAGACTCATTCACTTCCTGTGTCCATACCTCACGTCAAGTATTGAGAAGCTCCGCATTTGAAGTGTTTCAACTTTTGGAATGAGTTGTTGACTGTTGAATAAACCAAGTTTTTTTCAAATACACTGTTGCTGAATTCCGGCTCTTTGCTTAACTCCTCCTGTGCTTTGCTCTGTGTTTTTGAGAGCACACTTTTCAGATGTTGTTATTTATCTAAAGAAACCCAGGCAAGCAGTGTGGGATTGAATTTATTTCTAACAGAATCATTGAAATTGTATAGTTTATTCTTTCTTACCAGTCACGTGTCGCTTTTAATATTGAGCTGCTGCTTTGGGAATGTAAGAGGTCATTTCTGGTATTAAATTTAACGTGGTTTCTTATTACAGGAATGTAAAGAAGTCTATGCTTTTTTCTCTCATCAATTACTAGACAGTCTTCAAAAAGCTACATGCTTATCTTTGGACACAATGAAAAAGAGAATATTTGTTGGCAGGCAAGTTGAAAATGTGCTAAAAATAAAAATATCTAATACTACCTGTAATAATATAATTTAATAATATCTTTGTTATTTATTTTTGAGACAAGGTCTTATGTAGCCCAGGCTGTTGCTAAGGATGACCCTGAACTTCTGATCCTGCTTCCACTTCTCAAGCGCTGAGATTACAGGGGTGCACCGCTATGTTGAGTTTATCTAGTGTTGGGGATCAAGCCCAGGGCTTTGTGCATAGTAGGCAAGCACTACTAAAGGGTCTCCCTGGTCAAGGGGACACTAAGATGGATTATTGGAGGTAAGAAGTTTATTAGAAGAGTTATTAACACCACGGACAGACAGATAACAGCATGAAGGGGGCTCTGAGGAGCATTTAGGCCTCAGCACCAGAGACAGCACAGCAGGGGCTCCTGAAGAAAGGAATTTGGAGGCCCAAGTGGCTTCCTGAGGATGGGAGAGGTGTCACAGCACAAGCCTGAGACCAGGCTCTCTGATTCCCAGGCAGGAGGCAGGGAAGAGGGAGGGGGCAGGATGTGTGGTCATCAGAACCCCTTTGATATAAATTCCCTCACCCCCCCCCCGCCCCCGACTTAGAATGCTGTTAGGTAGAGACTCAGGGACAGCTGTCCTCAGTAGGGTGCCTGTTAATGAGCGCAGAAGGGCCTCTGCCCAGTGAGCAGTCTGGCCTGGATTCTAACATTACTTTAAAAAAAAATACATATATATATATATATGTATATATATATAATCTATTATTTTTATGTGCATGGGTGTATTGCCTGCATGTATCTGAGTGTATCCCTGATATGTAATGCCCAAGGAGATCAGAAGAGGGTGTTGGATTCTCCTGGAACTGGAGTTATGGATGGTTGTTAGCCTCCATGTAGGTGCTGGGAATCGAACCTGGGTCCTCTGCAAGAACAGCCAGTGCTTTTAACCACTGAGCCATCTCTCCAGCCCCGGGTTAGCTTGCTTGATAGCTCTTCATTGAAAGAATGGGAAGTGAGTGGTACAAATCAGCTCTCTGCTTTTAAACTGGGATGTCTTTATTTTCCTTCTGGATCCCAACCCCCTTTTTGCTGGTGTTTGTACATGGACAGGTGTTTCTGTAGATGTGACAGCTTTGCTGGTTCTCAAGGAAAAACAGAGTTTGCATTTTTCAAATCATCTTGTCTAGGAGAGCAGTGGACGGCAAGGCAGAAGGAGCTGGCCGAACGGATTCAGGTGTCTGTGCGCATGCTTCATCACCAAGCCCATGCGTCTATGTGTCTGTACATCAGTGATATTGTTTAACAAGCAGCTTTTGGAAGACTTTGACTAGAAACTTCCTGTCTAAGCTGGGCCTGGAGGCACAGGCCTGTAATCCCAGTTATTCAGGAGGCCAAAGCAAAAGGAACAGAATCAAGGTCTGTGAGGTCTAGAGAAGGAGTTCAAGGCCAGCCAAGGAAACTTAGCGACCCAGTCTTAAAATAAGAAGTAAAAAAGGGTGCTGCAATATAGCTCAATGGTAGAGTAGTTTCTGAGCATGCGTGAAGCCCTGTCAATCTCTAGTATTGTAAAAATAAAGTATATGAAGTATGCTTTTTGTTGGTAATAGTCTACATTGCTCCAAGGCTGAGAGCAAAGCATCCCATTCGTTAACATCATTAAATGGTTACTTATTACTGACAGAAAGCAACACTCAAATACTAGAAAATGCACATGATATTACCATTTTACTTCTGGGACTATTACTGTGGGTTTTTTTTTTTTCAGTGCTTTGCAATTTATGATTCTATGATAAATAACCTTTCCTGTTGGGAGCCTGAGGCTCAGCCATTTCTCAGGGCTGCTGGCAGACCTGAGTTGGTGACCTCTCCATTCAGGCCATAACCTTGGCTCACAGCCAGGGCCAGACAATCTTGGCCCACAACCTTGGCCCACGGCCTTGTTCTCCTTTCCAGTGAACAGCCCTGTTCTCCGTAAATCAGTAGATTCCTCCCTTAGAGAACTCAGGCCGCCGCATTCTGACCGGTTTGATTGCTCACTCTTCACTTCTTTGTTCTCATCCTCTATTTAAACTCATGCTTGTGCTTCAGTAAACGAGACTTGATCAGAGCCCTGTCTTGTCTCCATTTCTCTTGTCGCTTGCCTCACCCACGGCCCCACCCCCCAATCCAGGTACCTCGTTGCAGACCCCTTCTTTTTGCTCTTTTTTTTTTTTTTTTTTTGCACTTTCCTTCTTTTTCTTTTTGGTGTTTAGAGACATAGTCTCATTGAGTAACACTGGCTAGGCTGGCTTGGAACTCACTATGTAGACCAGGCTAACCTCAAACTCACAGAGATCTACCTGTCTCTGCCTCCCAGGTGCTGGGACTAAAGGTGTGCACTACCATGCCTGGCTAAGTAACATTCTTTGGATGTAATTTGATATTTTAAAAAATGGTCTTTATGGGGCTGGAGAGGTGGCTCTGCTCTTGCAGAGGACCTGGGTTCGATTCCCAGCACCCACATGGCGGCTACGAACCGTCCTTAACTCCAGTTCCAGGGGAATCTGACACCTTCTTCTGACCTCCTTGGCATTGCACGATATGGGTGCACTCACATACATGCAGGCAATACACTCATACACATAAAATGAAAATAATAAATAAAAATAATTTTAAAAAATGGTCTTTATTTTTAGGGTGGAAACTTGTAAAATAGCAAATTGAAACTTTAGGCTGTTGCTCACCAGCTAAATTGTTCGTTTTATTCTAGCAAAGGACGAAGATGGTCAGAAAATATTATTTCCTTCATAAAAACTGAAGTACATCTTGCAATTCCTAATGTGGTAAGTATTTTTATACACACTGATATTTTAGTAATGTAGTTAAGAAGCACAGTAATAGATGTTTGTCTAGTGTGTGAGACTGTGCATCCCCACAATTGCAAAAATAAGTAAATAAATAAAAAATATTAGAACTGAACTTTCACCTGGAGGAAGATCTTGGTTCCATGTATTTTTTTAATTGATTAATTAATTAATTTATGTGTCGTGTGCATGTGTGTGTGTGTGTGTATGTACAGAACCTGTAGAGACCAGAGAGAGTGCTGGAGTTACAGGCAGGTATGAGCTGCCCAACTTGGGTGCTGGGAACCAAACTCTGGTCCTCTGAAAAATCAGTAAGTTCTTTCAGGTGCTAAGCATGTATTTTTATTTTTACTTCCCCCTGTCTTGAAAAAATAAAAGTGTCATCATTTATATGTTATTAAAAGTGTCTGAGCTGGGGGTAAATTGGTGTAGCTCAGTAGTAGAGCTTTAGCCTAGTATATAAAGAGGCACTGGGGTTTGATTCCTAGCAATGCACACACACATGTGTGAATGCATGCACACACACACAGACATAAAATAAACACATATGCATACACATACACAGACACACACAAAGACAAGCACACAAACACACAGATGCAAACACACACAGAGACATACACATAAACACACCCACAAACATGCACATAAACACAAGCGCACACAAAAACAGAGACACAGAAACACACACGCACACACACGTGCACACAAACATGCACACACACGCACGCGCACACACGCACACACATGCGCGCACGCACACACATGCACACACATGCGTGCACGCACACACACGTACACACGCACACGTGCACACACATACGCACACGCACATGCACACACAGGCATGCACCTTCTGCAGAGCTCATGATGTATTCCAAGCTGATGTGTGAGATAAGATTTTCTCTGCTGTCAACTGCAAATAGAAATCACCCTGCTTTTTCTTTACACATTAAAATAAAACCATCAAAGGAGCCTCAGTCCCTTTCCCAAAGCCACCACAGTGGGGCACCTCATTAAATATTGCAGAATAAGAAGAAGGAGCCGGTGTACTGAACTCCGGAGCCTCCCAACAGCCCTCTTCTCTGTAACTGCCCCAGCTGCTCACTGCTGTCTGGCCCGAGGGTGCACGCCTCCCAACACCACATTAGCCCAGTCCTGAAGGGACTTCTTAGCTGCTTTGACACACTTCAAAGGACTGAAACCAGAGACCTGGTGCTATAGCTTGCAATAGGTAGAACGGAGGAGCCTACAGCGCCCCCTTCTGGCACAACCCTCTCCTACAAGCAGCCGGCCATTTGTGCTGCCACAGGCTTGCCTGATTAGGGAGAAACTCAATGACATGAATCAGAGGGAGGGCTGTATGTGCTGGTGGAATTATGCAGTGGTCACTACTTCCCGTAGGTAATGATTCCCAGCCTGGATGACATTCAACAAGCCATCAACCGCATGATCCAGCTTACCCTGGAGGTCAGCAGAGGCGTGGCACACTGGGGACAACAGCAGGTCAGACAAATGAGGTCTATTCCTAACAGCGCCTCTCGAACCACTGCTGATCAAGACCAATCAACCACAGGAAAAATGCTGAAGAAAGAAAGTAAGGAAGTTGAAACACCCGCGTTTAATCCCCAGCATAGTGGGAGAAAACAAAAAACCTTCACAGAATCTTCACAGAATTGTAGAGGCAGAACTGTTATTAAGTGGGCCTTCTGGCCCTTCCTAGGTTTAAAAAGATTTATTTTTATTTTAAAGTGTGTGTGTGTGTGTGTGTGTGTGTGTGTGTGTGTGTGTGTACATGAATGCAGGTACCTGCGGAGGCCAGAAAAGGGCGTCAGATCCCCCCTGGAGCTAGAGTTACAGGTGATTGTGAACTGCTTGATGTGGGTGCTGGGAACTGAACTCAGGTCCTTTACCAGAACAGCAAGTACTCTTAACTGCAGTACTATCTCTCTAGCTCCCTGATTTATTTATTTATTTTTAATTTTGAGTGTACAAGTGTTTTCCTACATATATGCAGTGTACTATGCCTGCAGAGGCCAGAAGAAGGCATCAGATCCCCTGTAAGTAGAGTTACTGATGGGTTGTTAGCTGCTACGTGGGTGCTGGGAACTGAGCCCAGGTCCTCTGCAAGAGCAGCCAGTGCTCTTAACCACTGACCCCTCTCCAGTGCGCATGTGTGCGCGCGCACACATGCACACACACACACACACACACACATTTTGAAGGCAGGGTCTCATGTAGCCAAGCTGCCCTCAAACTCACTATGTGGTGAAAGAACTGATCCTCCTGCCTCTACTTCCCAAGCATGACACCATACCCAACTTTAGAAGTTAGATTTATATGTTTGCTCTTTACATTTTCCACTGATAAAACTGGTATCCCTCCGTATTTCATCTAAAACATAGCATGCAGCCATTTCTGTCTTCTGGTCACGGATGAACAAAGTTTTTTTTTTTTTTTAATCACTGTTTTACTGTAGTAATTATGAAAGGCCAAAAATGGAAATAAACCTCGACACTGATTTTCCTCGCCACATCACATTTGCTCTAATAAACTTTATTTCACTTTTCATAGCTGCATGATTGGTTATAGCCCCAAATTGCTGACAAATGTCCCAGCACGTGGGTGGATGAGCAAGAATGGTCTAGGCAGTGGGGTTCTCAGTAGTAGAAAAGACTGACTTACCAAAGCATGCCACAACATCCATCGGTTAAGCCAGTACCTTGTATTTTATTTTGCTTTAACTTTGCATAAATATAAAGATAGTAAAAGAGCAAACAGTCTTGCAGTTTGTGGGTAAACTCAATAGATGCTGGTCAACATAGCTAATTGCTCCTCTGCAGGAGTATGGGCCGCATAACACCACATTAAGTCATTTCAAAGGCAAAGCTGGGAGTCTAGAATTTCAGGTGAAATCACATGCTTCTTAATTGTTAACAACTGTTTGAAAACCAAAGCGTTGCATGGACCAATTAAAAGCTGACTGACCAAGGTGTGGTGACACACACCTGTCATCCCAGTACTCAAGGAGGTGAAGGCAAGAGGATCAGAAGCTCAAGGGCACCCTCAGCTACACAACCAATTCAAGGCCAGGCTGAATTACATAAAATTCTGTATAAAAGAAACAAGAGGTGGAGCGAGGGCAGCAAGATGACTCTGTAGATAAAGGCTCTGGCCGCTGAGCCTAATGATCTGAGTTGGAGCTACAGAACCCATATGGCGGAAGGAGAAAACCTCTGACCTCCACACATACAACATGTTGTGCATACACACACACACACACACACTTAAATAAATAAATGTAAAAAAGTATTTGGGACCAGGGAGATGGCTCAATGGGTAAAGGTGCTTGCTGCTAAACCTGATGGCCTCAGTTCAGTCCTTGGGACCTGTATAGTGGAAGGAGAGGACTGACTCCTCCAACTTGTCCTCTGACCTCCATAGGTACACTGTGGAATGTGTACCCACACACCCACATGCAGACACAATAAATGAACAGATAAATGTGTGTATGTATGTAATAAAGCACAACCCCTAAACCACATACACTTTTTACTATTTATTTATTTGGTTTTTTTTTTTTTTTTTTTTTTTTGAGACAGGATCTCCTTGTAGCTCCAGCTAGCCTGGAACTTCCTATGTAGACTAGGCTGGTCTATCTCTCAGAAATCTGCCTGCCTCTGCCTCCCAAGGGCTGGGATTAAAGGTGTGAGCTACTACACCCCTCCATATGCATTTTTAAAGAGCACTATATATATATATATATAAAATAGTTGACAATACTTAAAGTTGAATACAGATATTCTCTATAGTTAGAAACATCTGTTTTCAGGATCTTTTGAAGAAACCGTTCCTGCGAGGAAGCTGAAGAACTTTTACCCTGGTGTGGCAGAGCACAAGGACATCTCCAAGCTGGTCCTCCTCCTCTCCTCCTCTGTGAACTCTCTCCGGAAGGCAGCCAATGAGGCCCTACAGGACTTCCAAAAGTACAAGAGTCTCTGGACAGAAGACCGGGATGTCAAAGTCAAGGTGCCTCCTCTAATTGTGGTGTTCTTTGGGTTTCAACTGCTTGTCTCTGTTGAGGGGTGTGTGTGTGTGTGTGTGTGTGTGTGTGTGTGTGTGTGCATGCGCGCATGCATGCTTGTTACTGTGTATTTGTATCTGTATGTGGTGTGTGTGCAGCGTGTGGTGTGTATGAATGTGTATGTGCAGTGTGTGAATGTGTGTGTGTGCTTGTGAGTGGGTATATATGTATGTATGTGGTGTGTGGTACTCATGAGAGAGTAAGAATCCACCAATACCAAGCACCCAGATGTAGCTAGGGTAATTCTCACCATGACACTCTGAGGCAATTGATAATGATGAGGCTTTGACAAATTTTGTTTAATTCCCTTAAAAAGCCAAGTGCATGTGCCCAGTGCAGCTCAGAGCCCAGGCACTCAGCACAGCTGTGCTTTTGGTTAGAGTCTCAAGGAAGCTTCTGAACCCAGACTAACCAGTCCTGGCATTCTGTGAAACCCCTTCACCTGGCCTCCTGTCCAGGCCTATCAGGACAGCCCATTCTCTTGGAGGCCACCCTATGGGGAGCCTGCCCTGAGATGGTGGATGGGAAGTGCAGAGTGAACTCTGGGGACTTGTAGGTCTGGCTACAAGCCCACTTGATTAAGAGTGCAACAGTTTTTTATACATAAGAGAAACTAGCAGTTACATATAGCTTCTGCAGTTGGATACAAAGCATCAGAACATTTTTAGACGAAAAAATAGCAACAGTAACTTTTTGCTGCTGTAAGCTAAGGCAATTATATAGCAGGATATTTATACCTTACTCAGGGTTATTGTCTGGTGATTGGTCAAGATGTTTGCTTTCTCAGGACAGGGAAGTTAAGATGCCTTTCTTAGAATGAGGAACACCGTCAGCCTATCTGATCTAGTCAACTTCCTCTTCCAATCATGCAACAGTTCCACAGGTCAGGGTCCTGAGACACCTGTGTTCAGGGTCGCACCCATAAGCAGAGGTTATGGTTTGATCTCAGGTTGTGTGTTCCACTCATTCAAAGACAGGCCATCCCAATCTCCAACACATTCTCTTCCACAGCATGGACAAGTGTATGAACAAGTGCAGTTTCCAATTTATTATAAGTGCATAATTTACTTCACTAAGGACTGAAAAAAGTATTAACTCTTGCTTTGCCTGACAGGACTTTTTAGCCAACAACCCCTCTCTGACTGAAATCAGATCAGAAATTCTCCACTATGCAACCTTTGAAGAGGAGATTGATGAGCTAAAACCTGTTATTGTTGTGGGAGCCCTCGAACTGCACACGGGTAACTTAAACAATGTTTGTCACTGAAAGGTCTGGGGGCACTGAGATGGATTGTTGAAAGTAAAGAGTTATTAGAAGGGTTAGTAATACCATGGACAAGCAGACATCCAGGAGGATCGGTAGGCTCTGAGGAGAATCAGGCTCCTTGACAGAACTGGGGTCTCTTCTTATAGCTTCCTGAGGAAGGAGGTGTTTCACAGAACTAGCCTGCAACCAGCTTCTCTGATTCCCAGGCAGGAGGCAGGGAAGGCGGGTGGGGACCAGGATGTGTGACCACTGATATTCCCTTTGGTATAAACTCCCTTCTCTAGGTGAGAAATCGGGGCAGCTTGGAAGTCTGTTAGAGGCTCACAGACAGTGCCCTCAGCAGGTGTCTGTGGGTCTCCGAATGGCTGTAGCAGGGATTGTGGCCTGAGCAGCGCTCTGGTCTAGAATCTGATATGGAGAGAATATTTTCACATGTTATGATATTTTCTTTGGAGTCCCAAGGGACATCAGAATATGAATTGTGAAATGGTGTTTTACTTAGCAAGCAGCTGTTAAGCAACTTTGATGTTGAAAATGCTTAAGAAGTCCTAGATCATCCATACTCTTTTTCATTTGTTTTTATGAGACAGTTCCATGTAGCTTAGGCTAGCCTCAAGCTCACTTTGTAGCTCAAGATATGACCTTGAACTCCTGATCTTTTTGCCTCTACCTTCTGAGTATTGGGATTACAGACATGAGCCACCACACCCAGTTTACACCATTTAAAATTGAAAGGTATGGGGTTGGAGAGATGGCTCTGCAGTTAAGAGCACATAGGGCTCTTGAAAGGGACCTGGATTCAGTTCCTGGCACCCATGTCAAGTGGCTCACAACTGTCTGTAACTCCAGCTCTAGGGGATCCAGTACCCTCTTCTGGCCTCTGTGAGCACAGCACTCATGCATATAGCCACAGAGAAATACATGATTTAAAAACAAATCTTTAAAGACTAAAATAATACAAGGCAGAGGCAGGTGGATCTCTGTGAGTTCAAGGCCATCCTGGTCTACATAGTGAGTTCCAGGACAGCTGGGGCTACAGGGAGACCCTGTCTCAAAAACATAAAAATAAATAAATATATATATTATAGAATCCAAGATGTATCTAGATCTTCAGAATGGACCAGGGGACAGTGTAGAAAGCTGAGGAACTGGCCAGGTGTGGTGGCGCACGCCTTTAATCCCAGCACTTGGGAGACAGAAGCAAGCAGATCTCTGTGAGTTCAAGGCCAGCCTGGGCCAAATATCGAGTTTCAGGCTAGTCAGGGCTATATAGTGAAACTCGTCTCAACACACATGCACATGTGCACACACACGCACGCACGCACACGCACGCACACACACAGGCTGAGGAAGTCCTCTCCACCTGTAACGTCCTCTTCCTTTTTCTGCTCCTCAGATTGTGACTGTCCCCTCCCTGCAACTCTCATTGCAAATTTTCCAGAAAGGACTGTTTTGATTGGTCTGTAATGGGTCTGGATTGACCTGGGATAGTCAAGTCAGGTTATAGAAATGTTCTAACTATATGGCTGAGGCAGGAAGTAGAATAACAGAAAAATTAAAGCCACGGCATAGCAGGAGAAACAATAGATTTCACTCTACTGAAAGGCGCTTCCCTAGAGGAAAGTAGGGGCATGTGAGGGCTGCTAATAGGATGTCCAGAGCCCAGCAAGTTTCACACAGCAGTGAAATCCCTACAGAAATTCTCCCTCACAGGCTGTCGCATCCTTCTCAAACAGCCAGATAGACTTCTTAGAGATGGGGCAGACTTTGAAATCTAATAATTTTACAGCACAGCTAACAAATGAGTCAGGCTTCAAGTGACCAAGAGCCAGCCATGTGTGATCAGTGACTACTGAATGGAACGGGACAGCTGAGATGCTCAGATAGAGAATCTTTTCAGCCTTTTAATCTTTCTGGTCTTCCTCAGAGCCAGTGAAGTTAGCCTTATCAATCGAGGCCAAGGCATGGAAGATGTTACTCTGTCGATATTTGAATGAAGAATATAAAAAGAAAATGTCAGACATGATAGCATTTATCAATGAATACTTGAAAAAGTTGTCTAGACCGATTCGTGACTTAGATGATGTCAGATTTGCAATGGAAGCTTTGTCTTGTATCCGGGAGAATGAAATTCAAATGGACATGACTTTGGGGCCAATTGAAGTAAGAATTATATTTTTCTTTCCTGAAATGCTTCTTAAAAATAGAAGCATGCTAAAAAAAAGTGACTTTATTAATGCATTTCATCATCTATTAGATGAAATGGTCTCTTTTCTGATGCTGATGTCTATGGGGGAATTTTAACAATTATCAACAGGGAATTGCATAGAGAGGAATATTAACATATTAAAATACTTTATTGGGTTAGATAATTTCTATTTTTGATACTGACACCAAAATTTAATGAGAGATATTGATTGTAACCTCTCATATTAATTCCTGTGTTAAGTAAGTTCTCCAGATATCTTTAGCTACCTCAGAAACCGATTGTAGGTTTCCCTCATTAGCATATGCATGCCATGGGCAGGAGAGTAGTAACAGCCCATGTAAGCTCAATAGCAACCTCCAGGCACTTAGATGAACGAAAGATAAAGGTTGGAAAAAGTACTGTATTCTATTATTACTGTAATAAATTACCAAAAAGTATAAATTCTCAATGGCTTGAATCAAACAATGTCTCCTAGCCATAAAAATTTAGCCAGGAGCTCCTCCCAAGCCCATGTGACCCCTGAGGAACAGATCCTCAAACGACCTTAAGAGTAAAAATAAATCGGTTTATCTGGACCAACTATATGGCCTTAAACACCCAAAAGGAAAGTATAACCAAAGATTAAAGGGGCCAATATAATTTCATAAGAGTCCATATGTATAGGTAAAGGCTACATAACAAGCAACAATGCCAGATAGGAGATACCTTCTTTTGAGTTGTTGGCCAGGGT